AGTGCTGGTGGAAAAGGACGAGGTCGCAGCAGGGGAGGTCATAGAGGAGGAGACCGAAACCGAGGCGGAGGAGACGGCGGAGGAGACGGCGGAGGAGGACAACGACGAGGACGACGATGATGAAGATAAGGACGAGGACGGGGAGGAGGTGGAGGAGGTGGAGGAGGTGGTGATGCTGCTGTGCGTGCTCAACCTCGACGACGGCGATGTGCTCAAGAAGCGCAAAATCTGGCGGAGGATCGCCGTGCCCTCGGACTTCTCGCTGCTCGAATTGCACGTTGCTCTCCAGGTGAGAGCAGTGAGGAGTGGTGCAGCGAGGAGGCGGTTGTAACGAAAAAAACGTGTTTCGCGATTTGCTCAAGAAGCGCAAGATCTGGCGCCACATCGCCGTGCCCTCCGACTTCTCACTGCTCGAGCTGCACGTCGCGCTGCAGGTGAGTCGGACGAGGAGTGGTTTTACGAGGAGGTGACTGTAACGAGAAATCTGGTTCAAAAGGAGGATTCGCTCGGGGTTGCGAAAGAAGCCTCTTTTTTTTTAGGCTTCTTTCCCTTCACTTCTGCAGAAGTCCATGCAAAAATTGGGTCATTTATTCCGTGTCTCCAATTTCTATTTTTTTATGTTTCTCTGCTACAGTGACGCTGCACATTTGATTGTAAGACAGTAAACGAATCATGGCGGAATGGGTCATTATAGTGGAGCGCAGATCTACCCAAGTCCGGACGGAGGGACACCTGGGCTTTCCGTAATCGAATGGGGGTGCGGAATTGGCTTTGTATTCCGCGTACCCCCGTTCCCCTCCGCGTGCCCCCGTTCCCCTCCGCGTGCCCCCGTTCCCCTCCGCGTACCCCCGTTCCCCTCCGCGTGCCCCCGTTCCCCTCCCACGTCAGAGCGCCTTCGACTGGGAGTATTTTGGGTCGACTCAAAATACACCTGGACAAGCCGACTCGCGGTTTATTTTTAAGGCGCCGTGCTCTAATCCCATGGACGAGGAAGTGGGTTTTTGCTCCGCGTCCCCTTCTCGTCTCGTCTCCGTCCCCTTCTCGTCTCGTCTCCGTCCCCTTCTCTTCACGTCTTTTTGCTCCGCGTCCCCTTCTCCTCTCGTCAGAGCGCCTTCGACTGGGTGGGAGGACACCCATCTCCGTGACTTCACCCGCTCCCCCGGCCGCTCCCCCGGCCGCTCCCCCGGCCGCTCACCCGGCCGCTCACCCTCTCACCCCATCGCTGTTCTGTGTACTCTCGCCCTCTCCCCCTCCCTCCGCTCCCTATCAGAACGCGTTCGACTCGGAGGACACCCATCTCCACGACTTCACCCAGCCACTCACCCCATGGCTGCTGCTCTGTGCGCTCCCCCATTCCCCCGCTCCCCCCATCCCCTCGCTCCTCCCCCCCCTCTCCCCCTCCCTCCTGCGTGTCACAGAACGCGTTCGACTGGGAGGGCACGCACCTCCACAACTTCACGCAGCCGCTCAGCTCATGGGCGCTGCTCTGTGCACTCCCCCATTCCCCCGCTCCTGGGTGCTCATGGGTGCTCTGCGCACTCCCGCCCTCTCTGCCATGTGTACCCTCCCGCCCTCTCTGCCATGTGTACCCTCCCGCCCTCCCCCCCTCCCCTCCCTTTCAGAACGCGTTCGACTGGGAGGACACGCATCTGCACGCCTTCACCCACCCGCTCACCCCATCGCTGCTGCTCTGTGCGTTCCCCCATCCGCTCCCTGCGTTCCGCCTCCCACCCACCCTCCACTCCCCATCAGAACGCGTTCGACTGGGAGGACACCCACCTGCACGACTTCACCCAGCCGCGCCGCCATGCGTGGCGCCGCCTGCTGGACCCCGCGGCCGCCCTGGCGGACGAAATCACCGACTCCGAGGCCGAAGCCGAGGGCGCTACAGCCAAGCTCAAGGAGAAGTCCGCTACAGCCGGTATCAGCGCTGCTACAGCCGACGCTGTGGCTCTCCCGCCCCTCCCCGACACGCAGTACCGGGGTTTGGGCGCACGGACTTGTCGGCTGTAGCAGAGCTGCTACAGCTGGATTTGGATTCCCTGCCGGCCGGGTTCACCCGCACGTTCAAGACTGTAGCGGGCGCCAAGGAGGAGGCGGCGGACGATTTGATTCTGACCCCGGCGAGCGCGGATCTGGGCGGCAGCGCTGAGGTGGTGTTTGTGGAGCATGCTGACGTGGCGGCGGAGGGAGGAGGGAAGGAGGTGGCGGCGCTGACAGGCCCTGGAGAGGTGAGTGGGGGCGTGAGGGAGTGAGGGGGAGTGGGGTGTGGGGGAGTGTGGGGGGAGTGTGGGGGGAGTGTGGGGGGAGTGTGGGGGAGTGTGGGGGAGTGTGGGGGGCAGGAGTGTGGAGGAGAGAGTCTTGTGTGGGGGGCAGGGGGGAGGGTTTGTGTGGGGGGGGGGTCAGGGGGTAACGTGGGGATTTGAGATATCTTTGATTGTTGGAGGCACGAGTGGGTGTGTCTTTAACTCAACAAGTATCACTCCGTCCTCCCCCTCTCCTGCACTCCCGTCCCTGCTCGCCCTTCCTCAAGCCCCCCGCCTGTCTCTTTCCCTCCCCTTCCCCCGTCCCCCGGCGTCCCCCCGCCTCCCCCCTTCCCCCCCCCCCGACCAATCAGGTATTGGATGAGAGGGCGTTCGAAGTGGGGGCAGCATTCGCCAAGACCGACCCGCTGCTCGTGTACCAGTATGACTTCGGCATGAGCTACGAGGTGCACCTCATTTTCGAGGGTAAATTCCCCGCCACGGAGGGGGTGAACTACCCCACGTGCCTGGCGGGAGCGGGTGCGAGCCCTGCAGAGGACGGCAACGATATGGACGACGAGGGGGCGCTGCTGCCGTCGTACGACTACAACGACTTCGCCGTGCTCGATGTGAGTTGCTTGGCTGCCTAGCTGCATTCGATTTGAAGGCATGTTGTACCGCCAGGGATGGTGGAGGGCAAGGAAGGAGGGGGGGGGGTGGGGGGGGGGGGGGGAGTAGGGCGGGGGGGGTGTTGACCAGCAGAGGACGGCAACGATATGGACGACGAAGGGGCGCTGCTGCCGTCATGCGACCAAACCGACTTTCCTGTGCTCGATGTGAGTTGCTTGGCTGTGCTTTGAGGGGCCTCGGATCAGCAGAGGACGGGTTGGTTGTGCTTTGATGAGGGGTTGGGGGGCCACAATCAGACGAGTTGGGGGGGCATCATCAGACGACGGCAACGATATGGGCGACGAAGGGGGGTGCTGCCTTCACCAAATTACAACGACTTTGCCGAGCTCGATGTGAGTTGCTTGGCTGGTCGTTTTGCTGAATGCTTGTCTAAAGCATCTTCTGAGGACGCATAGCCCATGGTGCCTGCCTATTGCAAAAAGTCCTTTTGCCAAACATGGCTTCCCATGTCCTTGTCACTCACTCCATTCTCTCTCCCCCTTCCCATCAGGTGCTTGCCAACTTTGAGAAGACCTTTGAGGACTCGTGGCCCGTGGGGCCAGGCTCGGAGGACAGCATCGACGCTCCCCGGTGCTACATGTGCAGGTAAGGGCCTGCCGAATCTATGTGTGAGGTATGGCTGTGCCAACTTGCCGACTATGTGCGAGGTATGGCTGTGCCGGCATGCCGAACCAATGAGTGCAGATTGGCCATGCTAGTGGTACTTGTGTAGGGTTTCTTGTGGCAGAGGCGTGAACGTTGTTTAGTTTTGAGACGTCTCAAACGTAAACTACTTACACATGTGTGGGCGTTTTGAATTCCTGACTGTCAGCCAGAGAAGGAACCCATCCTCCTCACGCCCCCCTCCCCTCCCCCCCTCCACCCACCCTCCTCCCCATCCATTTTTTAGGCGCCTCAAAAATAGACCCCCCCCCACCCTCCTCCCCATCCATTTTTTATGCGCCTCAAAAATAGAACCCCCCCACCCTCCTCCCCATCCATTTTTTATACGCCTCAAAAATAGACCCCCCCCCACCCTCCTCCCCATCCATTTTCTCCATAGGTGATTTTCGAGTTCCCTCCCCCCCATCCATACTCCCCCCCTGGCCGCCCTTTGCCCCTCTCAGGTACAACCGCGAGTGCGGGCAGCGCCGGGAATGCACAGGAAAGTGCTGTGGGTACTGCCTGAAGGGTAGAGGAGAGGAGGTTTGTGAGACGCTTAACATTCCCCCTTCCCCCTCGCAAACCCCCCTGCCCTCGCCCCCCGGACCCGCCCCTTGCCTCTCCCAGGTACAACCGCGAGTGCGGGCGGCGCAGGGAGTGCACGGGGAAGTGCTGCGGCTACTGCCTCAAGAATCCGCTGCACCTGCTGGCCGGCTCCATCTCCCTACGGGACGCTGACGCCGCGTATGAGAGCACGGCACGGAAGGTGCTTGAGAGCAAGGTGGCTGAGAGCGCCGAGACCTAGAGCGAGAGTGAGGGGCGAGCGGGAGGGGTGAGCGGGAGGGGGAAGAAGCATGGGGTGGGGTAGCCTCCATTGTCCATCTCTCTCTACGGGAGGCTGACTCGGCTTATGAGAGCACAGCAAGGAAGGTGCGCTGGAGCAGCAGAGCAAGGCTGCTGCTGAGAATGCTGAGGCTTAGAGAATGAGGGGTGTGGGAAATGGCATGGCATCTGGTGAGCACGAGGCATGGCAAGGGGTTGGCCCCATCCATGAGACTCACATGCGGGCTCATGGGCTTGCTTCCTCTTGCCGATGGTTGATCTGTGGGGCATGACGTATGGGGTGGGGAGTGATGTTGCGGCATGATGGTTGTCTGAGGTCACAGGTGCACTGATGTAGCTAAACCAAGGGGAGGTATCTTGGGGGGTTCTTAACCATTAAAAATATTATTGTACAGTAGACTGCAATCGACTGCTCATACGGCGGTAGCGGGGGTAAGGTGAACATTTGGAAATCTCATGTAGCATGGGCGTGGTACATGTTATGGTAATCTACATTCATCATATCATTTCACAAGCTGCACTGTATCTTGATTCGTGAAGCACATGGGAACATTACAAGCTAGCAGTGATCGCACACAAGTGCATAGAAAGCACAGTGCCAAACATACCTGCCTGTGTTCTGGAACTGCGGATAGCGCGGATCTGGGCGTCCTTGGTCATTGTGATAAGGCAAAGCTGGTAGGGCGTATTGCGATTCATGATCCCTGAAGGACGCCTGCTGTATGCGCTGCTTGCCCTGCATGCCACTACCAGCTCCTCCACCGTTCCCCTTAAAACCCTCAAATCCCAAACCCCAAGACTGGAACCCGAAGCACCTAAAAAGATATTTGCGATTTCAACAGATCAGAAGCAGCAGTCGCAGTCGAAGGGGCACAGAGCCGTGCCGCCAGCAGTCTTCTTATTCCAACCCAACTCCTCCTCCCCATAAACCCTGTACCCTTCCTGCGTCCGCTTCCTGGGCTTGCTCTCTGCGTCTGCTGCCCCTCCGGCACCTCCTCCCTTCTCTTGCTTCTTCCCTTTTTTCGCAGGTGATTTTCCTTTGGCTTGGGTCTTCGCGTCTGCTTTGCCTTTGTTTCCTTTCTGCCCGCTGCCCGCCGCCCCTTGGTTCTTGTCCTGCTTCGCCTGGTTGAAAATTGCGTCGATGTCGTCGCCCGCTGCCCGCTTTCGCTTGTCTCCCGGCGACGCCTGCGACTCGTTCGCAGGCGTCGCAGCCGTCGCATCGAGGTTCGCAGAGTTAGGGACTGCTGCTGACACCCCTTCTGCGACAGCTGCAGCTTCAGCTGCTGAACCCGCATTTGCCACCTCATCACCACGTGCCGTATCCAGAATCGCTGGAAGTTCGGAGGAGCTCGGTTCATCCCGGTTGGGTGCGTTTCCCGCTTTCTTCTTCCCCTGCTTGCCTTGCTCGGCGGAAGCGACGGACGCCATAGCCGGTCGGCCGCTCCTCGATTTCCCCGCGCTTCCCATCCCTCCCCTAGCACCACTCGCGTCACGCGAATTCGACGCTCGCGAAACGCGTTAAGGACTGCCTCGATACGCTGCTGTGGTGCCCCAGGCGAGGAAGACCCGTGGGATGCGGCTCTTAGGCAGCGAGAGGACTGGCAGCGAAGTGAATCACTCCTGGTGCCTTGGCACAAAACCGTGGTCAAAGGACTCAGCAGTCGGATACAATGAAGGAAAGCGACCGAGGCCGAGGAGAGCAGAGTGCTGCAGAAGACTACTGGTTCGGTATGGGAGGCAGTATGCTCAGAGGAAGGATGAGTTCGTAACGAGGATGAGCTCACACCATGGAGACTCCACTAAAGGAAGTATCTCTCAAAATAAACGGGTGAAACAGGACAAAATTTCCGAAGTTACATGTCTTTGTGCTTTCTACAATATGAAAGCAATCCCCCAGTTTGCCAAGGCCACTCTCGCTACTGGCAATGACAAGAATTATCATTGGCTATCAGCGACAGCAACCCTAACATATGGTGTGCTACATCTTCCCTTCCAATTCTACATTGAGATCCCATCCCTCCCTCTGGGAGCTCCTAGAAACCAATTCTTGCCCTTGCAACTTGCCACATCTCCGCCAAACCAGATTCCAGCATGGATGCTTCCACTCGCCTAAGGACGTGCCAAAGGTCTCCATAGACCCCCAAAGTCTCGCCAAAGCGCCCTTTACATTACAAACATCTCGATAAAAACTCCCTCCCAGCAATCTCTCAGTATCCCGCCGTCATGGCCCATGTATCCCGTACATCAATACCCTTCTTTTTCATCACCCCCATATCAATACCCCCCTCCTCTCCTGCTCCTCGCCTCTCGCCCCGAGTAATTTCTCGACCCCTCCTCCCGGCCATACCCATCCCTATCCCTCTCCCTCTCACTGTAACCTCGATCCCTTCCGTAAGAGCCCTCCCTCCCATACTCCCTGCTTCCACCGTCCCTCTCTCGCGCATACTCCCTCCCCCCGCTATCCCTCCCATAATCCCAACCCCCCGCAGCACTCTCTCGGTCCCTCCCATACTCTCTGCTGCCCCCACTATCCCTATCCCGCCCATAATCCCGCCCATAGTCCCTGTCTCGAGCCGAATACTCGTTCCTGCTGCCACTGCTTGCGTAGTCATCACCCGAATACCCTCTGCTCCTCGCCCCCCCTCCCACCCCCTCACTAGTACTGCTCCGGCTGGCGCCACCCCTCGCTCCTGCCCTTGCACTCCTACCCCCACCACCACCATCGTCATCAGATGCATCATACTGTGTTTTTGCTGCCGGTCTTCTATCCTCATCCCCCACGCTCCTCCCCTCCGGCCTCTGCTGCTGCTGGGACAAACCCCCCTCCACCGGCTGATGGCTCGACGGCACCGATTGGACCTGAGAAGACACAGAAGCAGCAGCCACTGCACCAACACCACCAGCACCAGCAGCACCACCAATAGCACCAGCGTCAGCAGCAGCGGAGGAGGCGGCGGGGAGGGGGTCGTCGTGGTCCTCCTGGGAGAAGGAGCGGCGGTGGCGGCTGGGGGAGTCCGAGGGCGATGCTGCCGGGCTGGCTGCTGCTGCGAGCTCCTCTATTGCCTCCAGACACTTGTGCTCGTACCACCAGTCCTCCTGTAGGAGACTGGACGAGTGAAGGGAAAGGGGGGGATGCGTGAGATGGCGACAAGGAAGTGATAAAGCAGGCGAGGTTGCCGGGGGGCCTGCTGCCGCGAGCTCCTCTATGGCTCCAGACACCTGTGCTCGTACCACCAGTCCTCATGCAATAAACTTAACACATGAAGGAGAGATGGATGAGATGGTTTGGGGGAAGGGGGTGGGGAGGTTAATACGCGTTCGGCCAGCTGCTGCTGCGAGCTCCTCTATGGCCTCTAGGCACTGTGCTCGTACCGCACGGACATAGAGGAGCATGATGGCCTTGGTGGCACTGTCCTCCACCACCTTGCCATCCCCTCTTACCGCACTGAACCCACGCAACTACGCTTGGACCTAAGCCCACACACAGCTGCCAGGATCTAAGTCCACGCACCTGTTGGGGTCGCCTCCCGTCTGGTCGGTGAAGAGCACGATGGCCTTGGTGGCGCTGTCTTCCGCAACCTTGCGCATGGCCCTGGACGAGTACTTGCCCGCCTTGGCCACCTGCATCACGAAGTACATGTCGAACACGAGCTGGGGGAGGGGGGGGAGGGAGGAAGGGAGGGGGGAGAGGAGGGGATGAGTTCTCCTTATACTGGACATGAGCCACCTTGCTCAGAAGCCACCTTGCGCATAGCCCTGGACGAGTACTTGCCCGTCTTGGCCACCTGCATCACGTAGTACATGTCGAACACGAGCTGCAGGAGGGAAGAAAAAGGGGGGAGGGAGAGGGGGGAAAGGAAAGTAACGATGAGTTCCAGTATAGGGAGAACTCCTACGCATGTCTCTCTCCTCTCCGCCGTTTCAATCAACCACCCCACACGCACACGGCTAGATGCAAACAAGCACACAGTGCCACACCTGCTGCAGGCATGTAGGGCCGAGGGCGTATTCGGCATTCTCAAGCTCGTACCAGAAGGTGCTGTCACTGCTGTCACTGCTGTCACTGCTGTCACTGCTGTCACTGCTGTCACTGCTGTCACTGCTGTCACTGCTGTCACTGCTGTCACTGCTGTGCTGTGCACCATGAGCCACCCCGTCGCGACCCACTCTGCCAGACTCTTTTTCCCGCCCTTTCCCCTTCAACCAGCCAGCACGCACAGGCAGATGGCAGAAAGCCATACCCCCACACAGACCCACCTGCTGCAAGCCCGTTGGTCAAAGGGCGTACTCGGCGTTCTCGAGCTCGTCCCAGAAAGTGGTGTGCACCATGAGCCCCATCATGAGCCACTCTGCCAGGCAATACCCCCTTTCCCCCTGAACCGTCCCGCACACAGGGAAACACCCACCTGCTGCAGGCCTGTTGGACCGAGGGCATACTCGGCATTCTCGAGCTCGTCCCAGAAGGTGCTGTGCACCATGAGGCCCATCATGAGCCACTCTGCCAGGATGGCTTCCCCTGGCTTTCCCCATTCGACCACCCTGGGCACACAGGCGCACTCCACAGAGACCCACCTGCTGCAGGCCAGTGGGGCCAAGGGCGTACTCAGCGTTCTCGAGCTCGTCCCAGAAGGTGCTGTACACCATGAGGCCCATCATGAGCCACTCTGCAAGGCGCATGAGCAGCAGCGTCACCACTCTGTCGCGCCCTCCCAGCACGTAGGTGGCTGTGGAGTGGATGGAGTGCAAGGCCATGTAGAGCGCCTGGCAGGGGGAGGGCGGGGAGGAGAGAGAGGGAGAGGAAGACACGGGTGAAGGAGAGGGCCCATGAGGCCCATCATGAGCCACGCTACAAAGCGCATGAGCAGCAGCGTCACCACTCTGTCGCGCCCTCCCAGCACGTAGGTGGCTGTGGAGTGGATGGAGTGCAAGGCCATGTAGAGCGCCTGGCAGGGGGAGGGCGGGGAGGAGAGAGAGGGAGAGGAAGACACGGGTGAAGGAGAGGGCCCATGAGGCCCATCATGAGCCACGCTACAAAGCGCATGAGCAGCAGCGTCACCACTCTGTCGCGCCCTCCCAGCACGTAGGTGGCTGTGGAGTGGATGGAGTGCAAGGCCATGTAGAGCGCCTGGCAGGGAGAGGGCGGGGAGGAGAGAGAGGGAGAGGAAGACACGGGTGAAGGAGAGGGCACATGAGGCCCATCATGAGCCACGCTACAAAGCGCATGAGCAGCAGCGTCACCACTCTGTCGCGCCCTCCCAGCACGTAGGTGGCTGTGGAGTGGATGGAGTGCAAGGCCCTGTAGAGCGCCTGGCAGGGAGAGGGCGGGGAGGAGAGAGAGGGAGAGGAAGACACGGGTGAAGGAGAGGGCCCATGAGGCCCATCATGAGCCACGCTACAAAGCGCATGAGCAGCAGCGTCACCACTCTGTCGCGCGCGCCTAAAACATAGGTGGCTGTGGAGTGGATGGAGTGCAAGGCCATATAGAGCGCCTGGCAGGGAGAGGGCGGGGAAGAGAGAGCGGGAGGGAGGCATGGGTGAAAGGGAGGGCCATGAGGCCCATCATGAGCCACTCTGCAAGGCGCATGAGCAGCAGCGTCACCACTCTGTGTGGGCGGGTGTGGAGTGGATGGAGTGCAAAGCCATGTAGAGCGCCTGACAGGGAGAGGGCGAGAAGGAGAGACAGAGGCGTGATAAACAGTGTGCTGTATCCCTGCCCGGCACGTATGTGGTTGTGGAGTAAAGGCGTGCAGCAGAGCCATGTAGAGAGCCTGGCAGGGAGAGAAGGCGGAAGGGGAAGAGATAGAACAGTGTGTGTGAGAGGCATGGCAACCACACCATTCTGCATCCACCAACATGCACACCAAACCAACACACAGATGCTGACCTGGATACCGGATGCTGACCTCTGGATGCTGACCTGGATACCGGATGCTGACCTGGATACCAGATGCTGACCTGGAAAGGCGGCGAGGGCAGGGGCTTCAAGGCCCACTGCGTGGGGCGCATCTTGGCGTCCATGTGGAGGTACTCGTGGGCTGTGAGGATGGGCTTGCCGTCGTCGCCATACATAAACTCCGCCACCAGGCACGAGCACAGCACGTCCCGCAGCTTGTCCACCGCCTTCTGCAGCCGCCGCCGCCACTCCTTGTGCTCCGCCGCGTTGCTGGGGGCAGGAGGGGGGGGGGGGGGGGGGGGGGGGGGGGGATGGAAACAGGGAATACAGGGTCTACACCCTAAGCCAGCCCCGCCCATACCCATACCCACTCCTTGTGCTCCGCCGCGTTGCTGGGGAGGAGGGGGGTGGGGGGATGGACATAGGGAATACAGGGTCTTAGGGTATGGGCAGGGGTGGCTTGTCCACCGCCTTCTGCAGCCGCCGCTGCCACTCCTTGTGCTCCGCTGTGTTGCTGAGGAGGAGGGGGGTGGGGGGATGGACATAGGGAATACAGGGTCTTAGGGTATGGGCGGGGGTGGCTTGTCCACCGCCTTCTGCAGCCGCCGCTGCCACTCCTTGTGCTCCGCTGTGTTGCTGAGGAGGAGGGGGGTGGGGGGATGGACATAGGGAATACAGGGTCTTAGGGTATGGGCGGGGGTGGCTTGTCCACCGCCTTCTGCAGCCGCCGCTGCCACTCCTTGTGCTCCGCTGTGTTGCTGAGGAGGAGGGGGTGGGGGGATGGACATAGGGAATACAGGGTCTTAGGGTATGGGCGGGGGTGGCTTGTCCACCGCTTTCTGCAGCCGCCGCTGCCACTCCTTGTGCTCCGCTGTGTTGCTGAGGAGGAGGGGGGTGGGGGGATGGACATAGGGAATACAGGGTCTTAGGGTATGGGCGGGGGTGGCTTGTCCACCGCCTTCTGCAGCCGCCGCTGCCACTCCTTGTGCTCCGCTGTGTTGCTGAGGAGGAGGGGGGTGGGGGGATGGACATAGGGAATACAGGGTCTTAGGGTATGGGCGGGGGTGGCTTGTCCACCGCTTTCTGCAGCCGCCGCTGCCACTCCTTGTGCTCCGCTGTGTTGCTGAGGAGGAGGGGGGTGGGGGGATGGACATAGGGAATACAGGGTCTTAGGGTATGGGCGGGGGTGGCTTGTCCACCGCCTTCTGCAGCCGCCGCTGCCACTCCTTGTGCTCCGCTGTGTTGCTGAGGAGGAGGGGGGTGGGGGGATGGACATAGGGAATACAGGGTCTTAGGGTATGGGCGGGGGTGGCTTGTCCACCGCTTTCTGCAGCCGCCGCTGCCACTCCTTGTGCTCCGCTGTGTTGCTGAGGAGGAGGGGGGTGGGGGGATGGACATAGGGAATACAGGGTCTTAGGGTATGGGCGGGGGTGGCTTGTCCACCGCCTTCTGCAGCCGCCGCTGCCACTCCTTGTGCTCCGCTGTGTTGCTGAGGAGGAGGGGGGTGGGGGGATGGACATAGGGAATACAGGGTCTTAGGGTATGGGCAGGGGTGGCTTGTCCACCACCTTCTGCAGCCGCCGCTGCCACTCCTTGTGCTCCGCTGTGTTGCTGAGGAGGAGGGGGGTGGGGGGATGGACATAGGGAATACAGGGTCTTAGGGTATGGGCGGGGGTGGCTTGTCCACCGCTTTCTGCAGCCGCCGCTGCCACTCCTTGTGCTCCGCTGTGTTGCTGAGGAGGAGGGGGGTGGGGGGATGGACATAGGGAATACAGGGTCTTAGGGTATGGGCAGGGGTGGCTTGTCCACCACCTTCTGCAGCCGCCGCTGCCACTCCTTGTGCTCCGCTGTGTTGCTGAGGAGGAGGGGGGTGGGGGGATGGACATAGGGAATACAGGGTCTTAGGGTATGGGCGGGGGTGGCTTGTCCACCGCTTTCTGCAGCCGCCGCTGCCACTCCTTGTGCTCCGCTGTGTTGCTGAGGAGGAGGGGGGTGGGGGGATGGACATAGGGAATACAGGGTCTTAGGGTATGGGCAGGGGTGGCTTGTCCACCACCTTCTGCAGCCGCCGCTGCCACTCCTTGTGCTCCGCTGTGTTGCTGAGGAGGAGGGGGGTGGGGGGATGGACATAGGGAATACAGGGTCTTAGGGTATGGGCAGGGGTGGCTTGTCCACCACCTTCTGCAGCCGCAGCTGCCACTCCTTGTGCTCCGCTGTGTTGCTGAGGAGGAGGGGGGTGGGGGGATGGACATAGGGAATACAGGGTCTTAGGGTATGGGCGGGGGTGGCTTGTCCACCGCTTTCTGCAGCCGCAGCTGCCACTCCTTGTGCTCCGCTGTGTTGCTGTCAAGGGGAAGGGGAGGGGGAGGACAGATGGGGGAAGTTTTGAGGCGCCTCAAAACTAGATGGGGGGAACGGGGATTTACGGTATGGGTGGCGGGGAATTGCCTCGCTTTCTGCAGCCGCTGCCGCCACTCCTTGTGCTCCGCCGCGTTGCTGCCCATACAGACAACCGTGGGGCGGGGGGGGGGGAGAGTGGGAGAGAGAGTTGGGGATCGGTGCGGGTGCATTGCCTTCTGCAGCTCGGTCAGGGGGCCAGCTTTGCCTGCAGGGAGGAGAAACACGCGGCTCTGTTCCCGCTCCTGTTGGAAACACAATGGTAAAACAGAGTAAAGCGAGGGCCTCCAGGGCAGGGAAAACGGCAGGATAGCACGACGGGGTGGAGAAAGGGAGCAGAAAGCAATGCAATCCAACGAAAGCGAGCCTCACCGTCCGCCACCGCCCGACAGCCGCCTGTCCTGCTCCGCCCCGCCCTGCTTCCTCCCCCCTCTCCCGCCTCCGCCTCCCCCGCCCCCTTCCTCCCCAGCCGCCAGAGTCAGCCTCTGCGCCAGTCTGGGGAGCAGATCATCAGCCAGAGCCGATGCATTCCCCAGCAGAGCCAGCTGCTGCTGCTCGTCCTCTGCGGTGCGCACACTGCCGTCCTGCCATGGCTCCTCCCCTCCCCCGTTCGCCTTGTCCTTGTCTTTCTCCCCGGCCTTCCCCTCCTCCCCCTCCTCGTCCTCGTTGTCGTCGTCGTCGGAGGAGGGCGAGGGGAGGGCCTTCTGCAGCAGCGCGACGTACGACTCGAAGAGCGAGGCGAGGCGGTCGAGAATGCGGCCGAACAGCTGCAGGCTGATCACTGGTAAGATGTCCTCCACCAGGTCCTTTGGCGGGGATAGGGGCAACGGGGGAAGGAGGATGGAGGGGTGGGGGGGGAGGAGATTTTTTAGGCGCCTCAAAAACCACCAGGTCCTTTGGGGGGGATAGGGGCAACGGGGGAAGGGGGGAAGGAGGATGGAGGGGTGGGGGGGGAGGAGGAGGGAGGGTGGGGGGAAGGAGTGCTTTAACTCGAAGTCAAAGAGGGATTCCAGAAGGTCGCGAATGCGGCCGATAGCTGCAGGCTGATGACTGTTAGAAGGTCTTCGGCCTGGTCCTTTAAGGGGGCAAAAAGGAGAGGAGTTAGGGGGGAGGGGGGGGGAATAGGGAAAAATAGGGTGATTCAACTAGAGATTGAGGGGGAACGCCAGGCGGTCGCGAATGAGGCCAATAGCTGCAGGCTGATGACTGGTAGGACGTCGACCACTAGGCCCTTAAAGAAGGGGAGGGGGAAGAGGTGGGGAGGGCGGAGGGGGGGGGAATAAGGTGCTTTAGCTCGAACCTGAAGAGGGATGCCATGCCAGGCAGTCACGAATGCGGCCGAACAGCTGAAAGGTCTGCCGCAGCGCGCGCACCCTGCCAGTGGCGCTTGAATCGTGTGGCAGGGGAAGCAGCAGCAGCCACAAAGGCACACACACCGCATCCCCAACACATCCCTACCACTCACTCACCACGAGCAGCATGTAGAACTTTTGGCCGCTGCTGGACAGCTTGAGGTGCATGAGCCCCGGCCCCAGAGTCTGCTGCAGCGCGCGCACCCGGCCAGTGGCGCCTGAGCCGTGCGGCAGCGGCAGCAGGACCCAGTCGTCCACAGCCACCATGGTGGCCACCGAGTCCTCAATGCGGATGATGTTGAACTCCAGGGCCTCCTCCACGCTGGGGCGCACCAGCTTGGACAATACTGGGGAGAGGGTGAGACCCTGGTCCTCTAAGAGCCTGTATGGGCGAGGAGGGCAGGAGAGGCAGGGGAGGCAGGGGAGTCCTCGATGCGGATGGTGTTGAACTCCAGGGCCTCCTCCACGCTGAAGCGGGCTAGCTTGGAGAGAACGGGGGATAGAGTCAGGCCCTGGTCCTCCAGTAGTCTGTCAAATGTGGGGCACAGCACAGGGGCCAGGTAGAAAGTAGGGAGAGGGTAGGGGTAGTGGGAAGCCAGGGCGGTGGTGAGGCTTGGAGACAGAGGCATTGGGGGCAGCAGCACCCAGTTGTCCACGGCCACCATGGTGGCCACCGAGTCCTCAATGCGGATGATGTTGAACTCCAGGGCCTCCTCCTCGCTGGGCCGGGCCAGCTTTGATAGGACAGGGGAGAGGGTCAGACCCTGGTCCTCCAGTAGTCTGCAGGGCGGGATCGGGGAAGGCAGGGGGCGGGTAGTGGGTAAGGGAGAGGCAGGGGGCAGGCAGGGGGTGGGTTTGGTTTGCTGGCAGTGAGCCGAAAGGGGGCAGCGGCAGCAGGACCCAGTCGTCCACGGGCACCATGGTGGCCGCCGAGTCCTCAATGCGGATGATGTGAACTCCAGGGCCTCCTCCACGCTGAAGCGGGCTAGCTTGGAGAATACTGGGGAGAGGGTCTCAGCCTGATCCTCCAGCAATCTGGAGGGAGGGAGGGGGGACCGGGGGCAGCAGGCAGCGGGTAAGGGAGAGGCAGAGGGTAGGGGGCAGGCAGGGGGTGGGGTCGGCTTGCTGGGAATGCACCCGAAGGAGGCAGGGGGAGCAGGGCCCAACAGTCCACAGCCACCATGGTGGCGAGGCCACTGAGTCCTGGATGCGGATGATGTTGAACTCCAGGGCCTCGCTCAGGCTCTGCTGCAACTAAAGGCGCATGGTGGCTACCACGCAGTTCCCCACCTGCACTCACAGCACCCACCCACCCGCAGTGCTTTTTGAGTCGACTCAAAAGGTGATTTTTGAGTGATTCTTTAGTCGACTCAAAAATCACCTGCACTCACAGCACCCACCCACCCGCAGTGCCCCAGCGCTCTGTGCTTGCATCCGGAGGCCATGTGCAGCCCGCCAGCAGCCGGCTAAGGTGTCCAACCACCCACTGCCTAAATTAGAGCACCCACATACCAGCCCACAGCACCCACCCACCCACCTGCAGTGCCCCAGCGCTATGCGCACGCATTCAGCGGCGGCGTGCAGCCCGCCAGCAGCAGCAGCGGAGGAGAGCACGTGGCGCTTGAGCAGCGAGACGCAGAACTCCGTCTCCCTCTGCGCCCACAGCAGCAGGTCCGCCGCACACGAGGGGTCCGACGCGAATATGCGCGCTGAGTCCGTGGCTGCTTGGGATATCGCTGAGAACACCAGCTGGAGGGGGTTCGTGCGTGCGGAGGAAAGATGGGATGTGGGGGGAGAAGTGAGGAGGGGGTTTGGGAAAAGGATAGGGGAACGGGAGAGGGAAAAAGGGTGAGGGAAGAGGTGGGACGAGTGGCAAGCGCAAGGCGAGACGCAGAACTCCGTCTCCCTCGGCGCCCACAGCAGCAGACCCGCTGCGCATGAGGGGTCTGGTGCAAATATGCACGCCGAGTCCGTGGCCGCCTGGAATATTGCTGGGAATACCAGCTGGGGGAAACGGTGGGGAGGAATGAAGAGCGGGGAACTCACTAGACCAGATGACATGAAAGGATATGTGACGGGGGGTGGCAGAGGGGGAGGGGGGGGGAGAAAGGGGGCAATGAGAGGGGGAGGGGGGGAGAGAAAGGGGGCAATGAGAGGGGGAGGGGGGGGGAGAAAGGGGGCAATGAGAGGGGGAGGGGGGGAGAGAAAGGGGGCAATGAGAGGGGGAGGGGGGGAGAGAAAGGGGGCAATGAGAAGGGGAGGGGGGGGAGAAAGGGGGCAATGAGAGGGGGAGGGGGGGGAGAAAGGGGCAACGAGAGGGGGAGGGGGGGGGAGAAAGGGGGCAATGAGAGGGGGAGGGGGGGGGGGAGAAAGGGGGCAATGAGAGGGGGAGGGGGGGGAGAAAGGGGCAATGAGAGGGGGAGGGGGGGGGGGAGAAAGGGGGCAATGAGAGGGGGAGGGGGGGGGGGAGAAAGGGGGCAATGAGAGGGGGAGATCTGACATCCAACCTCTTCCTCGCCTCCATCTCCTACCTCTCTGCGGCACCAGATTGAGGCTAGAACACAAGGAGGACACCTGAAGCCCCTCTTCCCTTCAACCCCAACCCACATGGGCCATTGCAGCAGCATAGACCCGTCCTTTGACCTGACTACTCACTTCCATTTCCCTCCCTTCCCTCCCTTCCCCCCCCCCTCCCCTTTCCCCCCCTTCCCCCCTTCTCCCCTTCTCCCTCCCCCAATCACCCCTCACCTGTGCAAGAGCAGCGGTATACGCCCCGCCAAAGCTCGTCCCCCGGGGCCTCAGCAGCCTCGACCCGCTCCGGATCCTCTCCCCATACGCCGCCAGCAGCAGCTGGTGCGCCCTCTCCGTCTCCCCGAGCCTATACAGCGCGCCCACGGCCTGCCTCAGCTCCTGCCCCCTCACAGCCGCCTGCTGCGCCGTTTCCTCCAGCTGCCCCACCAGCCACGCCCTCCTGTCCGCTATCGCCGTCGCCAGCGCATTCGCGGCCTCCGCACTCAGAATCTCCTCCTCCTCCCCCCCGCTCCGCCTCCGCCTCCTCTCCCCCTTCCCCCCTCCCCCCCCTCCGCCTCCCCCGCCCCGTCCCCCGCAGTCGCCAGCGCGAGCTGCACGATCTGCTGCCCCTGCTCCAGCAGCTCTATAGCGCGGTCGACCTTCCGCTCCGCTATAAGAATATCCAGTATATCTGGCAGAGCCTCCGCGTACTTCTCAATCTCGGTCGGCTCCGGGACCTCCACACTCCACAACCTCTCATCCTCCTCCTCGTCCTGCGGCGTGGCTAACGAGGACGCGTACGACGAGGACGAGGCAGCAGCGAAAGTAGACGAAGTACCGGCAGTGGTAACAGACGAGGCAGTCGAAGCCGGGGTCGAGCTACCACCACCAGCACCAGCACCACCAGCAGCAGCCGCAGCAGCAGCAGCAGAGTTAGCATTGCTGCTGGTTTCGTTGTTCAAGCTATCGGCAGCGAGGGAGTGGATGAGGTTGGTCTGCAGCGAGAGCAGGTTCTTCATCTGCTGCAGCTCCACCTCCAGCTCCGCGATCTCCTTGGACGTGCCGATGAACGCCGTGTAGTTGGCGAACACGCTCTTCCGCATCTCGTCTGCTGATACCCGCCGGTAGTCCGCCAGGTCTCCGACCAGCAGACGGACGCCCTGGCGGAACAAGGAGGGAGGGGGGGGGGGAAGGAGAGGAACAAGGGAGTGCTGATGAGCGCCGTGCAGTTGGCAAACACGCACCTGCGCATCTCGTCCGCCGATACCAGTCTGTACTCAGCCAAGTCCCCCACTAGCAGGCGCACGCCCTGGGGGAAACAGGGAGGGGAAGGACCAAGAGGGGATGAACAAGGGGAGATTAACGGCGCGCCGATGAGCGCCGTGCAGTTGGCAAACACGCTCCTGCGCATCTCGTCTGCTGACACTCTCCTGTAGTCCGCCAAGTCCCCCACCAGCAGGCGCACGCCCTGGGAGGGTAAGACGGGCAGCAGGGCGGGAGGCAGGGAGGGAAGCAGGAAGGGAGGCAGGGAGGGAGGCAGGAAGTACGGGAGGGGGAACAAGGAGAGGGGGAACAAGGAGAGGGGGAACAAGGAGAGGGGGAACAAGGAGAGGGGGAACAAGGAGAGGGGGAACAAGGAGAGGGGGAACAAGGAGAGGGGGAACAAGGAGAGGGGGAACAAGGAGAGGGTGAACAAGGAGAGGGTGAACAAGGAGAGGGTGAACAAGGAGAGGGTGAACAAGGAGAGGGTGAACAAGGAGAGGGGGAACAAGGGGAGGGGGAACAAGGGGCGGCAAACGAGGTGCCGATGAACGCGGTGTCACGATCCTGCCATCTCGTCCGCTCATACCCGCCGGTGGTCCGCCAGGTCCCTGACCAGCAGGCGAACTCCCTGGGGGGAAAGGCGGGGAGGGAATTAAGCGGGGGAAGCCAGGGAGGAACAACAAGGGGATATATCAATGCGGTATTCTCCTGCAATGCGCCAGGTGGGCCACCAGCAGCAGCTTCACGCCCTGCGGCAGAGAGACGGTGTTGAGCTCGGTTGAAACAAGGGGAGAAATTATTGAGCTAGAACTGTGCTTCTAGCAGCGAAGCGGGGAAAGGGGACTGCGGTTGGTTAACGGAAGAAGGGGCGTGATTGTGCTCACGGCAGGAGAAGCAAAACAATAGATGAGAGCTCACCCGTTCGTCCATGATCTGCATCTGGTCGTCCACATACTTCTAGTCTTGAGACGTATCAAATCAGAGATGTTTGTACTGCAGCAGAAGCGGATAAAACTATTATAACGAGTATAGCGATTATAGCGTACCCGTTCGTCCATGATCTGCATCTGGTCGTCCACATACTTCTCCGCGTCGAACTTGTCGTGGGAGAAATTCATCCTGACGGCTCGCAGAGTAAAGTGTCTCGTGCAACGGGTGGAGATTATTTACGGAAACCCTAACTGTGGCTTTGCACCGTATTGTAGGCGAATACTTAGCCTTGTATCGCAGTATAACGACTTAAGCTTCGACGTGGAGAATAAAAAGACCTAAACTGGATGCTAGAGGTGGAAATGACTTGCAAGCAGAAAGTCAGAAATTGGGGCACTGGAAATAAGGTTTTTTGCTACACCAGCGGAACCAATGACAGAGTCCGGATTACGAGAGGAAGAAACTGGCTTTCGCAGTTAGTCAACCGGAAAATTGCCATAATAACGGAGAACTACGAGTCTGGCTGGCGATAATGAGCCAAGGCGTCAGTGACGCCGACGCCACTGCTGCAGCGCTACGGTATCTAGTGAAGCATTAGAGACGCGAGAATACATCTGTATGAGGAAAAGAAATCGTACGAAATATTATCTGTATCCTCTCGCTTGTACTGGCCAAAAGTCGCTCATCACCCACAAAATCGACATCTTCACTCAATAGCGCCTTCGCCGGGGGACATCAACGCAAGCATGCTCATAAGGCAGCAATCGCACCGATACGGTCATTCTCACGCTAGGCTTCCCCTAAATATAGCCACTATTCAAAACGCATACTAGCGTTACGATGACCTAATGACAAATCAACGGAGGTACTGCTAACCTAAACCGAGCTGTTGTCAGCCATCAGCCTGATACTCTCGTGATGAACCGCGCTCTCATCCCATCCTGTCTTCGTGCTTTTGCTGTAGCCCGCCGACAGCACCAACCTATGGAACTCCAGAGTCCGGACCCGGCCAGAGAGTGGTGAGGCCTCAGGTGGGAGCGGCAGCCACACATGAGCGCGTGGGCTGGTTTGAAACGATGGATGCATATGTTGTCGGCCTTGCAACGGGGGAGTTCTTAACGAGGATTATCTACGGTTGACTTATTTCAAACCGAAGCGTTGACATTAACCCATGTGTGACGGCTCTACACCCGAGAGTCGCCAGCTTATATAAAGTGGAAAGAGCATATCTATCCACCTAGCACCATGGCAACAAATATAGGTTGATGCATTCGGATCAGGTCTGATGCAAGTCGTACACATACAGTTTTTCTACAAATCTTACCAGCTTGACCACGCCCCAAACAAACCGCACTAGATTTTGCCAGTAATGGGCAAAGTGTTAACCAGAACCATCCACTCTCTCTCAAGCTGCCGTACACATGCAGCTCATGCAGCGGTATACCGTGGTACTCTTCAGCACAATCAGAAGGCAAGGGCAGGAGAAAACTTCATTGGTGTAATGAACCGTCACCAGCCAAGATAACGAGGAGTAAGTGTTCTGGTGATGGTGTTTTGGTACCTTCATCTCCCACCTCTCGTAGGTAACAAGCAGCGCCGGTTGGTGGCAGGCGGTGGGGGGCAGTGACACGTGGTGGTGGGAGGTGACGAGCGGTGATGGGCAGAGGCTGACAGTGGCGGGCACCGGGCAGTGGCGGCCGGTAAGCAGCGGTGGCGGTGACAGCCAGTGCTGGGCCGTGGCGGGTGGTGACAGGCAATGACGGGCAGCGGTGGGCGGTGATGGGTGAGGTGGGGGGTGATATGGGGTGATATTGGGTGACATGGGGTGATACGGGATAACATCAGTGATCTGGGGTGATATAGGGTGACATGGGCTGACATGGGGTGATGTAGGTGATATGGTGTGGGTGATATTGGGGTGATGTAGGGCGATATTGGCTGATATGGGTGATATGGGGTGATATGGGGAGATATGGGTTGATATGGGATAATATGGGATGATATGGGGTGATGCAAGTGATATGGGGTGATGCGGGTGACATGGGGCGATGCTGGTGATACGGGGTGATGCGGGTGATATGGGGTGATGCGAGTGATATGGGTTGATGCGAGTGATATGGGTTGATGCGAGTGATATGGGTTGATGCGGGTGACATGGGGCGATGCGGGTGATATGGGTTGATGTGGCACGCCCCTCGAGTTTCTCATCCCCTTCGTTTGTCTCTCCTATGGGGCGCCGTCCGCTCTCTACATCGACCACACCTTCGGCGCGCCCCCGCTCTCTAGCGCACGCGGGCGGGGTGCGCGGCAGCGGGGGCGGGTCGACGCTCTCTAGCGCACGCCCCGCCCCCGCCGTCGCCGCCTTCTACTCCCTTACCGCCGCAGTCTCCGCCCTGGGTCTGCGTCACAACCTCGCCAAGTGCGAGGCGTGGTCCCCCTCCCAAACCGCCGACCCCGCCCTCCCCGAGGGCCTCTCCCTCTCTACATCTGGCCTCCGCGTCCTCGGCAGTCCCGTGGGCCCCGAGCGGGCGTGCTCCGCCGCCATCCGCAGCCGCCTCGCGGAAGCAGCTGCGCCGCTCCCCCTCCTCGAGAAGCTGGACCCCCAGTCCAGCCTCCTCCTCATCACCCGCTGCCTCTGTCGCCGCGCCTCCTACCTCCTCCGCGCGACTCCCCCTCACCTCCTCCCCAAGGCGGAATGGTCGTGCTTGGGGGAGCGCCTCTTCACCAGGGCGCTAGCTGCGTGCGCGCTGCCAGCTCCAAGGCAAGCGGCGGAGCAGAGGCGGGTATGGACCCAGGCTTCCCTGCCACCGACCCTTGGAGGCCTCGGCATCTCCAATCCCGCCGGCTACGGCGCCCACTGCTACCTGACCTCGGTAGCCGCAGCCGCCCACCTGCTCGGGGACATGGTGGGGCGCCTGCACCCCCCGCTCGCCAACCTCCTCCCCTGTTCACACTCTCCCCGGACGCCGCCCCACCGCTGCCACGCCTCTTCGCCCCCCTCGAGGCCCAACTGCCCGCGTCTGCCGCTGCCACCCTCCGCGAGGAACGCGCCTCGACAGATCCGCCCAAGGTGCAGCGGGACTTAGTGCTGGAGGTCCAAGCCTCCCGCTTCACCGCCCTCCTAGAGGAGAGCCGCCGCCTCCATCCTAACCCCTCATGGGGCACACGCAACGGATCCTCTCTCTCCTTGGGCCAGGGGCGGGAGATTGGCTCATCGCCATCCCCTTTTCTCCCGTCCTCCGCCTCGCCCCCGCCCACCTCGCCTTCGTCGTCGCCTTCCGCCTCGGCCTGCCGCACAATGTCCCCAGAGTCCCCCGACTGTCAAATTAACTGACCGAGACAGAGCGGCAGACCAATCTGAGCGGCTGTGCGACAATCTGAGCGGCTGTGCGACACGGAGCTGTGGTGCGAAACGAAGCGGCTCGTAGTGCGAAACAGAGCGTCTCGGCCAAAACTCAGCGATTGGCCCAGCCAAACTGAATACCCTCTGACAATCTCAACGGCCCCACAGCTCCTTCACGAGAGCTACACAGAAACGCGTGTACAAGTATAAAAGAAACAATTATATTCAACAAACAAAAACTCCAAACGTTTACATTTGCCATCATTTTCGCAAATAACTCCTTTGTCTCATATCTTACACTCGAGCACAAGCGCGCCAGATCTTTCCATAAGACCCATACCACCTTACGATACGTGGCTAGACCAGCTATGCCACATTTCTCGGGCAGAAAACCATAACTCAACCACCCCATTCATCCTCTAACTCCTTGCCGCCACATTCACAGCCTCAACCCTTTCCCTCTCGCCTGCATCCTCACATGCAGATCCACATTCCTAGAAACAGCCCGCGCCAGCAGCTTTACCATCGGGGAACATGTGGCGCCAGCAGCAGTGGCGCGAATAGCGCGGGAAGCCCCGGCGTCTGAGAGGAGTTGAATGTGGTGCGCCGTGTGGCGGCCGTCTGGCATGGTGAGCTGCAGCAGAGCAAAGGATGCGCAGGCTCGCAGGGTCGAGGAGGGGTTGCGTAACATGGCGACAAACCGGTTGATCTCCGCAGCACTGGGGGCAGGGGCGGGGGGGGAGAAGGGGGGGGGGGAGGGGGAGGAAAGGGAGATGTGAATTGCAGGAGAGCCAAGGCTGCACAGGCTTGCAGGGTCGAGGAGGGATTGCGTAGCATGGCCACAAACCGGGTGATTGCCGAAGCTCTGGGGAGAGGAGGGGGGAGGTGGGCGGTGGGGACGAGGGAAGTGGAGGGAAGCGGTGAGCTGCAGAAGAGCAAATGCTGCAGACACTCGTAGGGTGGTGAAAGGTCACTGACACTGATACTGACACTGCCACTGACACTGACACTGACACTGACATTGACGTTGTATTGTGCAGCAGGGCAACAAGGCACTGACCTGTATCTAAGCAGCCCTGCCTCCTGGATCCAGCAGCTGTGGGAGAAGGCCAGCAGAGCAGCATCATCCGCTGCTGCTGCTGCTTTTGCTTTCAAACCGTGCTGCAAGCGGGAATGATGTTGCAGGCATTGTAGTACACGTCTACAGACACCAAGGCACTGACCTGCATCCGAGCAGCCAAGGCACTGACCTGCATCCGAGCAGCCAAGGCACTGACCTGCATCCGAGCAGCCAAGGCACTGACCTGCATCCGAGCAGCCAAGGCACTGACCTGCATCCGAGCAGCCAAGGCACTGACCTGCATCCGAGCAGCCAAGGCACTGACCGCATCCGAGCAGCCAAGGCACTGACCTGCATCCGAGCAGCCAAGGCACTGACCTGCATCCGAGCAGCCAAGGCACTGACCTGCATCCGAGCAGCCAAGGCACTGACCTGCATCCGAGCAGCCAAGATCACGGCACTGACCTGCATCCGAGCAGCCAAGGCACTGACCTGCATCCGAGCAGCCAAGGCACTGACCTGCATCCGAGCAGCCAAGGCACTGACCTGCATCCGAGCAGCCAAGGCACTGACCTGCATCCGAGCAGCCAAGGCACTGACCTGCATCCGAGCAGCCAAGGCACTGACCTGCATCCGAGCAGCCAAGGCACTGACCTGCATCCGAGCAGCCAAGGCACTGACCTGCATCCGAGCAGCCAAGGCACTGACCTGCATCCGAGCAGCCAAGGCACTGACCTGCATCCGAGCAGCCAAGGCACTGACCTCATCCGAGCAGCCAAGGCACTGACCTGCATCCGAGCAGCCCAAGGCACTGACCTGCATCCGAGCAGCCAAGGCACTGACCTGCATCCGAGCAGCCAAGGCACTGACCTGCATCCGAGCAGCCAAGGCACTGACCTGCATCCGAGCAGCCAAGGCACTGACCTGCATCCGAGCAGCCAAGGCACTGACCTGCATCCGAGCAGCCAAGGCACTGACCTGCATCCGAGCAGCCAAGGCACTGACCTGCATCCGAGCAGCCAAGGCACTGACCTGCATCCAGCCCACTGACCTGCATCCGAGCAGCCAAGGCACTGACCTGCATCCGAGCAGCCAAGGCACTGACCTGCATCCGAGCAGCCAAGGCCACTGACCTGCATCCGAGCAGCCAAGGCACTGACCTGCATCCGAGCAGCCAAGGCACTGACCTGCATCCGAGCAGCCAAGGCACTGACCTGCATCCGAGCAGCCAAGGCACTGACCTGCATCTGAGCAGCCCTGCCTCTTGAATCCGGCAGCTGTGGGAGAAGGCCAGCAGAGCAGCATCATCCGCTGCTGCTCGTGCCTCCAGGTGCCGCATGAACGTTGCTGACATCGGTGGGGGCACGTTGTCCGAACTGGCACCTGAAGAAACACCTGAAGCACCAGACGGACCAGCAGCAGGGGAGGTGACGCCAGGGGTGCGGGGAAGCCCACCCCGAGCCGCAGAAGCAGGTGTGGCCGGACCAGTCGCACCTCTACCGAGCCGTAGCTCATCACTCTCCTCATCAGAGTCCGATCCAGCTGCTCCCTCCCTCTCCCTCTCCCTCGCCCCCTTCCTGCCCGTCTGCTTCTGGTTGCTGTTGCAGGAAGCCACTCCTCCTCGTTCTCCTCCGCCTCCTCCTCCCCCTCCTCATCGCGCCATGCTGAGGCCCTCCTCTTTCTAGACCTCCCCCCTCTCTGCCCGCTCCCTCCGCCCCAGCACTCCTCATCCTCCTCCCCTTCCTCAACCTTCCTCCTCTCCCTCTCTCTCTCCCGCGCTCGCTCCGTCGCCCTTTCCGCCTCCTCTCTCTCGTGTATGAAGCACCTCAGAAACCACTCGACGGTGTGGAAGCCTAGCTGCTGCTGCAGCTCCAAGGTTGGGGGATAGTCTATCTGGGGGGCTGCTGCTGCTGCTGCAGCAGCCATTTCAGAAGACTTGCTGCAGGGTGTGTATGTGGGTTGGGTAGGAGGGAGAGCAGAAAAAGAGGGGCAATAAGAGCGAGGAGGGTGCTGCTGCCGTCGCTGCTGTGGCCATTCCAGAAGCCTTGCTGCAGCGTGTGTATGTATGTGGATTCGGGAGCACGGAGAGCAAAAAAAAAGGGTAGCGTGAGTGGGGAGGGGGGTGGTCCAGCAGGGGGGCTGCTGCTTCCATTTCAGAAGCTTTGCTGCAGAGAGTGTAAATGGGTTTGGGAGCAGGGAGAGCAAGGATAGGGGGTAGTGTGAGCTTGGGATGGTATAGCTGGAGTACTGCTACTGCCTGCCGCTGTGGCAATTTCTGCTGCTTTGCTACAAGCAGGGGAATGCAAGGCGTGCAAGGAAGGGCGCTACAGATCAGGGATGGGAAGGGGAGATGATAAGATAAGAGGTGAGGTGCTGATGCTGCCGTCTATGTAGATGAGTTCCGCAGAAGGCATGTGGTGAACCGTGCAGGAGAGGGGTGGGGCAAGCTACGAGGTGCAAGAGAAGGGGGATAGTTACACGAGAAGATATCATCTCGTCCACTAGGAGGCTCACCTGCCATCGAAGATATATGCGAGCGCAAGAGTGGCCATGAATCCAGCCATCGGCGAGGAAACTCTCCAAGGCAGAACTTGCAACTGCGGAGCAGCAGCAGCAGCAGCAGCAGCAGCACCAGCAGCAGCAGCAGCAGCACCAGCAGCAGCAGCACCGGCAGCACCAGCACCGCCAGCACCGGCAGCACCAGCAGCAACACCAGCAGCAACAGCACGAATGGCAGCAGCAGCAATTGCAACAGCACGAGCACCGGCAGCACCGGCAGCACCAGCAGCAGCAGCAGCAGCAGCAGCTGCAGCAGCAGCACGAATGGCAGCGGCAGCAATAGCATCAGCACCAGTACGAGCAGCAGCAGCACGAACAGCATCAGCAGCAATTGCAGCAGCATCAGCACCAGCACCAGCAGCCGCAGCACCACCAGCAGCAGCACCAGCAGCACCAACATCCCCAGCAGCAATACCAGCCGCCGCAGCACGAACAGCAGCAGCAGCAACCGCTGCTGCTGCAGGAGCAGCAAGGTTGCGATGAATAGGCATGGGAAGTGGTGGAGCACCGGTGCGAGCAGGAGGAGGGGGCGGCCTTTGAGGCAACAAATACTGCCAACCACCACCAGTAGCAGCACCACCATCAGCAAGAGCAGCAACAGCACCGGCAAAACCAGTGGGAGCAGAGGATGGCGCAGCGTGGGTGGTGGTGGCGTTTCTAGGGGTAGACGCAGAGGCGGAGGAGGAGGAAGAGGAGGGGCAAGGGAATGTGCCGAGGTGGTCTACGGCGGAAGGCGGCAGGGAGGCAACGATGATTGAGGCAATGATTGGCACGCCACTGTTCACGAGAATGTAAGCGGCGTTGGTTGGATTGAAGGCTAGATTCCAAAGCGCGCCAGTGGCTGTCTCCTGGACCTCCTGGAAGGGGTTTGAGATAGGGAGAATTGTCGAGGTATTGGGAAGAAGGAAATAGTAAAAACAGGGAAATTTTAGCACAGAAAACGGTAATTTGAGCACAGAAAACGGTAATTTTAGCACATAAAACGGTAATTTGAGCACAGAAAACGGTAATTACTGACAAGGTAAGCACATGAAAAAGGCATCAACTGTACGATTTCAGAACCCCCTCACACCCATAACCCCCTCATACTGACAGCATAACCCCCCCATGCCCACTCACCAGCTTTTGTGCTTGCGCGAGCCTAAGCAGCGACTCCACCCCTCCTGCTTGCCCAATGGCAACGCTGCACACACACACAGAGACAGGGAGGGACCAGCAAGGGCAGAGTGGTTTACCGTTTTTTTTTCATATATAATTATAATAAACACTAAGCAGCACGCCTCCTGCTTGCCTAATGGTGACGCTGCACACACACACACACACAAGGAGGGGCCAGTAACAGAATGAGTGGATGGGAGGAATGAGTGGATGGCAAATCATTCAGCCAACTGCAACCACGCATTTGATTAAAAAACAAACACCCAACCGACCTGTTGGCTTTGGAGACAGAGAGAGCACCCATAGCGCCCCTGCTGCTCTCTCTGTGTGCCCTCTGCCACCCCTGGCAGGCACGACTCCCGGGCTAAACTTAACCTCACTACTGTTTCCAGTACACATGTAACACTACCAGGAAACACGCACCCGCTTGCTTCAGAGGCAGAAGGCCCCCATAACGCCCCTGCCGCTCTCTCCTGTGTGCCCTCCTCTGCTATCCCTGCCAGGCCCATCTCCTGGGCTAGCCTAACCTCACTAGTGTAACATCAGTGAGACACGCATGCCTCATAACCAGCAGACACGCACCTGTTGGCTTCAGACACCGAGAGCCCCCATAGCGCCCCTGCTGCTCGCTCCTGTGTGTCCTCTGCCGCCCCGGGCAGGCACGACTCCCGGGCTAACAGTAGCCTCACTACTGTACCCAGTACACACGTACGTGCACACAGACACCTGGAGACATGCACCAGCAGACACATACCTGTTGGCTTCAGACACAGTGAGCCCCCACAGTGCCCCTGCTGCTCTCTCCTGTGTGTCCTCTGCTGCCCCTGGCAAGCACGACTCCCGGGCTAGCCTAACCTCACTAGTGTAACCATTACACATGTAACGTTACCAGGAAACACGCACCTGTTGGTTTCAGACACCGACAGGCCCCATAGCGCCCCTGCTGCTCTCTCCTGTGTGTCTTCTGCCGCCCCTGGCAGGCACGATTCCCGGGCTAGCCGAACCAACGCCTCCACGCCCCCCGCTGCTGCTATGGCCTCCCTGTTGCTGTCATCGAATGACAGGTTCCACAACGCGCCTGCCCCCTCTTGCCTGTTGGGAGTGGGAGTGCCGCGTGCACATATGCCATGTATGACAAGGGAAGACAAGAGAGTCAAGGCCAGGGTCAGCAGCACGCCCCCTGCTGCTGCTATGGCCTCCCTGTTGCTGTCGTTGAATTATAGGTTCCACAACGCGCCTGCCCCCTCTTGCCTGCATCGGGAGTGCGTAAGGGAAGGGAAGAGAGACCAGGAGCGCTGCTGCTGCTCCCACAGCAGCAAAAGATTGGATGCTTCTAGGTATTTGAGGCGCCTCAAAAAAGCTGTCGTCGAATGATAGGCTCCACTCCACAACGCGTTGGGTGTGTGCATGGGGTGTGTGCATGGGGTGTGTGCATGGGGTGTGTGCATGGGGTGTGTGCATGGGGTTGTTGTAGTGTTGCTCCTTCAGGTTGGAGGCCCTACCCATCCCACACACCCCATACCTGATGCTCTCATCCGGGGACTGTAGCAGTTTTTGAGGCGCCTAAAAAAAAGATGCTCTCATTCGGGGACTGTAGCAGTGCCACCAGCGAGGGGATGGCGGACGTCTATTTTTGAGGCGCCTAAAAAAAACCATGCGTGAGGAGTCTATTTTTGAGGCGCCTAAAAAAACACACCCCATATCTGATGCTCTCATTCGGGGAATGTAGCAGCGCCACCAGCGAGGGGATGGCGGACGGCTCAGTGCCCACAGCAACGGAGTTGTGGTTGCTGTCGCCATGTGCCGCCAGGTTGGCCAGCGCCCTGGCCGCCTGCTCCAACACGAGGTCGTGCTGGCAGTGCTGCAGCAAGGGGCGGCCCCTACCCCCCACAGCCACCTACCTTTGAGGCCCTTACCCCCCAAACCACCTTCACTGGAAGCCCTACCCCCACACACACCCCATACCTGATGCTCTCGTTGGGGGACTGCAGCAGCGCCATGCGCTGCCAGACAGCTAGTCTCAACTGAAGGCCCTACCCCTACAACCACCGCCACCCACCTGATGCTCTTGTTGGGGGACTGCAGCAGTGAAACTAGTGACGGGATCGCCTCAGGCTCAGTGCCCACAGCCACGAAGTTGCGGTTGCTGTCGCCATGCGCCGCCAGGTTGGCGAGCGCCCTGGCCGCCTGCTCCAACACGAGGTCGTGCTGGCAGTGCTGCACGGAGGGGTGGCCCCTACCCCCACACCCACCTACCCTATGTTGGAAAAAACCCAGATTTGGTTTTGCGTTTATACGCGAGTAAAATTCGTACGCTGCATTTTGGGTGGAGATTCGCTGAAAAACGCACGGGCTGACCGCAGAATTTGTTTTCCCCCGCAACAGGTCGCGACTAGGCGAAAAAACAGGGGTTTTGCACATCGTCAATTCAACTGCACGGAATTGGGGGCTGACGACAAAAGCGGCACATCGCAAACTCGAATTGAGTTTGTGGCTTGAACTCCCAACCCCAAAAGGCTTCCCCACCGCATTCAATCTCTCCATACGTTTCCAACCCAACCGATTGTGGTTTTAACTCCAATCCCAAAAAGCTTCCCCGCTGCATTCAATCTCACATCACCTCCCTTTCCCAACCTTTCTGCTGTATGACAATTGATGACTCACCAGAGTCCTGACGCAGAGGAGCAGCACCTAGCCTAATTCCGCGTCGTAACTCTCTAGCAAAGCTCCCTCCCTTAGTTCTCGCCCCGTTGTTCTTAGCTCGCCAGGAGAAATGTTGACCTGTTCCTACCACTCCTCCTAACGCAACAAATTTTCCTGCCTGCAATATTTTTTCCCCTGCCCGAACCTTCGTATTTCGTGCGTACCGCATACCCCCTTTCCAAGCGTATTGCGTATAAATGCTTATGTATATACGCTGGCGTACAAAACCCCCCCCTAACCACCTTCATTGGAAGCCTTACCCCCACACACACACACACACCCCATACCTGATGCTCTCGTTGGGGGACTGCAGCAGTGAAACTAGTGACGGGATCGCCTCAGGCTCCGTGCCCACAGCCACAGAGTTGCGGTTGCTGTCGCCATGCGCTGCCAGGTTGGCCAGCGCCCTGGCCGCCTGCTCCAAGACGAGGTCGTGCTGGCAGTGCTGCAGCAGACACACGAGAGCCTTCACACCCCCCCTTGCCACTATGCTCGTGCTGCAGGCGTCGTCCACTGCTAGGTTGGCCAACGCCCCTGTCACCCGCTCCTGACCGTATGGGAGGGGGGAGAGATGCGGAGAGGGGGAAAGGAGCGGCATAAGCAGGGGGAGGGACACGGGGAAGGGCAAGGTGAGTGGTGAGTGGCGGCACGTTGGCTTGGCAAGCGCCCTGGCTGCCTGCTCTAGCACGAGGTGGCGGAGGGCTCAGCCCCCCCAGCAGCCTGCTCCAACACGAGGTCGTGCTGGCAGTGCTGCAGCAGCCGCACGAGAGCCTTCACTCCCCCTCTTGCCACCATGCTCGTGCTGCAGGCGTCGTCCACTGCTAGGTTGGCCAGCGCCCGTCACCCGCTCCTGATAATGAGGGGAACGGGAGAACGGGTGCGGAGAGGGGGAAGGGAGCGGCATAGGCAGGGGGAGCGGAAGGGGCAGGGGGGGTAGTGAGCGGTGGCAGATTGGCGAGCGCCTTGACCGCCTGCTCCAACACGAGGTCGTGCTGGCAGTGCTGCAGCAGCCACACGAGGGCTCTCACTCCCCCCCACGCCACTATGCTCGTGCTGCAGGCGTCGTCCACCCCGTCACCCGCTCCTGTAGAAAGGATGAGCAAGAGGTGGCGACAGGGGAAAGGCGGGAGTCTATTTTTGAGGCGCCTCAAAGAAAGGGGTGGCGACAGGGGACAGGCCGGATAGGGAGACGGCGGCGATGATGAGACGAGAGGAAAGGAGTTGGCAGGAAAGGGGAGTCGACAGGAAGGGAGAGAGTTTGAGACGTCTCAGTTTTAGTGAAGTCAGGAAGACAGGAAGACATGACGACAGGCAGACAGGCGGACTCACGAGGATGCAGTCCCCTGGGAGGCCCACTGCAGGAGGAGGAGCCAAGGCCATGATGTCAACCAACGTGTCGATGCCCCCTGCTTGCATGATGTACGTCTGTGGGACATAAGGGGGAGGGGGAAGGGGAAGGGGCGGGAAGGGAGGGCCCTATTTTTTAGGTGCATCACAAATGGAAGAGCCGAGGGGCCATGATGTCAACCAACGTGTTGATGCCCCCCGCCTGCATAATGTACGTCTGTGGGGCATAAGGGGGCGGGGAGGAGGGGGGAGGGGGGGGAACAGCACAGCACAGGAGGGAATCAAGAAGGCCGGCCCAATAGTCCACCTTTGCATTCATCCCATGTGGATTATATGAGTTCGCATACCTGGGAGGCAGACTACATGATTTCATTCACAGAGAAGTTGCAGAGCGGCCCTTCAGCAACCTCCGCCAGACAGCATCCGCACTCCCCCCACCACACACCCACCAAGCCCTCACATTCCATTCCTCCCCCGCCCTCACCTTGTATTCGTCCGCCACAGATAGGTTCCACAGAGCTCCAGCTGCTGCCCCTGCGATACAGCCGTTGGGGTGAGGGAGGAGGGAGAGCAGCACGCCCACCCCGCCCACCCTTCAGTCGCACGTCTCCCTTTACCACACTCCTATGCCTTGTTCTATGTTGCATTCACCCCCTCCCCTCACCTTGTATTCATCAGCCACAGATAAGTTCCAGAGCGCCCCTGCAGCAGCCTCCGCGATACAGCCGTTGGGGAGGGGGAGGAGGGAGAGCAGCACGCCCACCCCGCCCACCCTCACCACCTCCCTCGCCACATCCACACTAACAGACAAATTCGCCAGGGCCTGGAGGATTGGGGAGGGGGCAAAGAGAAAGGAGGGAGTTGAAGGGATAGCTTGTGCAAGGCGCATCCCACCCTCCTCACCACCTCCCTCGCCACGTCCACACTCACACTCACAGACAGATTCGCTAGGGCCTAACGGGGAGCGGAACCGGGGGGGGGGGGGAAGAGAGGGGAAAGGGCCAGCTTGTGCAAGACACCTCCCACCCGCACCACTTCCCTCGCCACGTCCACATTCACTGACAGATTCGCCAGGGCCTAACGGGGGGGGGGAAGAGGACCGCACGAGTATGTGTGAGGGTGAAGGGATAGCAGAGGGACATCTGAAATACTGCCCACTCTCTCCACGTCCACACTCACTCACAGATTCGCCAGGGCCTAATGTGGAGGACGGGGAGGAGGTGGGGGGGTGGGGATGCGTATGCGTGACAGAAAGCTACAACATGTAAGCTTGTTCGAGACCCCCCCCCATCGTTCCTTTAAAACTTCATCCCCGATCGTAGCTTAGACGCCTCGAATCTCGGCCCCTCCGCTCCATGTGTGCCTGCCATGCGAACCAGAGTCTCCACTCCACTCCACTCCACGCCGCCCCCTCGCACGAACTCCATAACCCTCCTGCTGCTCCCTTCCTCGCTCACTCCGAACCCCATGCCCCACGCTCAGCCTTCTAGTCCGTCCCTGACACAACTCCCTTTCATGCCTTGGTCGCCTCGTATCTCGGCCCTTCTCGCCCTTGCCTTCCTGCCATCCGAACCACAGTCTCCACTCCGCCCCCTCGCACGAACGCCCTCACCCTCCCGCTGCTTGCCTCCCCCACCTTACTCCTAACCCAACGCCCCACGCACTCATCCTTCTAGTCCACTTCATACCTTAGTCGTCTCGAACCTCGGCCTTCTCGGTCCATGAGTGCCTGCAATCCGAACCAGAGTCTCCACTCCGCCCCCTCGCACGAATACCCTCACCCTCCCACTGCTCCCTGCCCCGCTCACTTCAGACCCCAAACCCCATGCAAATAACCTTCTAGTCCCTTGCATACCCCCCTTGCGTACCTCATTGCGAACCTCCTTTGCATACCCCCCTGCATACCTTGGTCGCCTCGAATCTTGGCCCCTCCGGTCCGTGCCTGCCTGCCATGCGAACCAGCGTCTCCACGCCTCCCCCTCTCACGAACGCCCTCACCCTCCCACTGCTCACCGCCTCCCCCTCCGCTCTGCTCGCGTCACTCCAAAATCCCCACTCCCCTCCCCCTCCTGCTTCTCCCCTTACTCCCCCTGCCGCTCCTCCCACACCCCCTCCTCCTCCTCCTCCTCCTCCTCCTCCTCCTCCTCCTCCTCCTCCTCCTCCTCCTCCTCCTCCTCCTCCTCCTCCTCCTCCTCCTCCTCCTCCTCCTCCTCCTCCCCACCCTGCACCCTCAGCATCCCCCCCCACCCCTTCTCTCCCGCCCATTCCTCCTACCCCTGCACCCGCCACCGCTCCTCCCACACCCCCTCCTCCTCCCAACCCACCACCTCCCCCTACTCTCCGGCCAGCTCCTCTCCCTCCCTGGCCCCATCCCACTTCTCCCTCCTCTTCCTCCTCCCCCTCCCCCTCTTCCTCCTCCTCGTCCTCCAACCCAGCCCCTATGGAATCCGCAACCACGAACACCCCTACAGTGGCTGCAGCTCTCTCGCGCACCTCCTGCTGCCGGCTCTGCAGCAGCAGCAGCACGGCAGGGATGCCCTGAGTCACCCAGAAATCCTCCCTCGGCTCCCACCCTCTCCCTGCTGCTCCTCCTGCTCCTGCTGCCCTTCCTGCTCCTCCTGCTCCCCTCGCTGCCTCGCCCCCTTCCCCTCCTCTTTCTCCTCCTCCTCCTACTGCCCCGTCCGCCCCTCGTCTTCCCCGTCCCGCTCCTCCCCCTCCTGCTCCTCCTCCCCCTCCTCCCCCTAGTCCTCCCCCCACTCCACCCCATCCCCCTTCGCCGCCCATCGGCTCTAATCTCTCTGCCAGGGAGTGCAGAGATCGGACCAGAATCAGCTCCATCCAATCAGAGAGCTCCACGCAAGCGCTCCTGGGCCCACCGCCCCCCAGAGCCCCGGTGATTTCGAGCACTAGAGCTCTGAGCTGTCCATCATCCGAGGCAGCTGCTGCAGCCTCTGATGCAGATGTGGCTGGGTGCACGGGTGTGTATTCCGCCTCCTGTCTCGCTGGGGTGCTTGCTGCTGCCGCTGCCGCTGCCGCTGCCGCTGCTGCTGCCGCTGCTGCTGTGGTTGTTGCTCCGGATGGTGTTGCTGTTGCTGGCACTGCTCGTGCTGCTTCGGCAGCAGTACCTGCTCCTACTGCAGGTGCTGCTGCTACTTGTGGTGTTGCCACAGCCTCTACTTCTGCTGCTCCTCTTCCCCTTCCTCTTCCTCTTCCCCGCCCCCCACCTCCTCGTCCTCCACCTCTCCTTTCTCTAGAGGCAGGAGCAGTAGCAGCAGCAGCTGTAGCGGCGGCTGTAGCGGATCTGGTCTGCCGTCTCGAAAGAGTATGTTGCGAGGCAGGAGTCACTGGGCCACCCCCAAATCCTACTGCCAATGTTGCTGGTGTTGCTGGTGGCGTTCCTGCTGCTGCTGTTACTGCTGTTGCTGCTGGTGTTGCAGGTGTTGCTGCTGCTACTGCTGTTGCTGCTCCTGCTGCTGCTGCTGCTGCTGCTGCTGCTGCTGCTGCTGCTGCTACTGCTGCTGCTGCTGCTGCTGCTGCTGCCATTGCTGCCTCGGCCGCTGCCGAACCTGCCACAGGGCAAGCTGGTTTCCGAGCCTTGCAGAAGCTCCAGAGGCAGGAGGGGTCGCTACAGGAGAGGGCGAGCGCGAGAAGACACTGACGAAGATTGCCGTACCGAAACAGCAAAAGACGGGGCTTGCTAGGCATTTTGATATTCTCGTGGAAAGTTTCCAACACAGGGCAGCTGAAAGCAGCTATCAGGAGGATAGAGGGAGACGCTAGGAGCAGGTTGATAGCTTCGGGGGAGATGTCCGAACGTGACACGTCCACGCCTCGCAGGTTCGGCAGCCGAGCCACATCCGAAGCAGCCCGAGGCCAGCTCACTTCCGAGCCTGACAGGGACAGGTACCTGACCTGCCGAAGCAACGCCAGGCCTCCCCGGTCCTCAAACTTAGGACAGTTAAGGAGGGCGAGATTGTATAACCGAGGACAATGACGCGCAAGTGCAGTAAGGCTGGCCAGATCAACCCTCTGTAAGCCGTTCAAGTGGAGATCCTCTAAACGGGGACAGGATTCAGCTAGCACGCAGATCGCATCGGCGGACAGCCTGGTGCAATGAGAGAGCGACACCTGGCGGAGGCGCGCGTGGCGGCCGAGGACAAGCCCGAGGGATGCGTCAGAGAGATCGCCACATGAGTCAGCAAGGAGGTGCTGGAGGCACGAGCCTGAAGGGGCGGCCCAGGCAGAGCCGGGCGAAGAAAGCTCAGAACCCCAGAAAGCTTGGGATGTGTGAGGCTCTCTGGGAGGCATACCAGTAGCGTTGCCGGTCGGCACACCTGTCCCGTCCATACTCCTAGAATGGCCAGATGCGCCGTTGCTGCTGTTGTTGCTTCCACCTTCATCGCCAGCACCAGTCGCACTGCCACTACCAGACGCACCAGCGCCAGCACCAGATGCCAACCCAGCTGCAGCAGCACTACCACCAGAAACACTGAACCCCATCCCACCGCGCGACCCCCCTGAAAAACCACCTGAAAGCCCACCACGCCGGCCGGACCTCCTAAAGCCAGCAGCGAGCCTGGCAACTGCCCTAAGGGACTCCGCACCTTTCACATGCACACGGGTCAACGCCCCTGCGCACTTCAATGCGAGGGAATCTGCTGCAGCGGCGGAGAGAGGCGGGTAGCAGCGGAGGTCGAGAGCGGTCCAGAGCGGTGGGGAGGCGGAGAGGTGGCACCAGGAGGAGCAGGCGCAAGACGCCCGAGCGAGGTCACGAAAGTTAAGGAGGGCGAAGATTCTGAGGGTGATCTCGACCGGCAGGGAGGTCCAATCAGGGGGGAGACGGCGGGCTGGTTGATGCCGGGATGGTTGGTGGTGTGGTGGTTTGGATGTGGAAGGCACTGCTGTTGCCATGTGCTGCTGGCTACTATTTGCTTCTAGTCTGTGTTGCTGCTTCTGTTTTTGCTGCTGCTGCTGCTCCTCCTGATCTTCCTCCTGAGTCTCCTGCTGCTTTTCTCGTTCTTGCTGTGCCTGCTCTTGCTCTTCTCCAACCTGGCTTTCGTCCTCTTGCTGCTGCTGCTGCTCCCTATCCTTCTCCTCCTCCCCATCCCCCTCCCCACCCTCATCGGCATCATCCACCAATTCCACTACCTCTTCACACCTCTCAACCACCTTAATCTCCTCCCCCCCATTCTCGATCGCCCCCCCATTCTCATTTTCCCCCTCTAGTAACCCCATGTCTTGGCGCATTTCCAACTGCCCAATTTTCTCAACCACCCCCTCCACCCCTTCACTCCCCTCCTCTAACCCCCCCTCTCTCTCAATCCCCGACTCTCCCCCTCCTCCGCCTCCTGCCACGTCAGCAATCTCCGTTTCCGTCTCTGTCTCCGCCGCTACTGCATCAATCCGCGCGGGAAACGCGCGCAGCCCCCGCGCGCTACCCGCATGCGCTCCGCCAGCGATTGCGACGGCGCCGGCGGAAGAACCACTTCGTTGCCGCGCTAGCGCGGGCGACGCGTGGGGTTCCGCGGAAAAGGCGGGAGCTTCCGCCAGCGAGCGCGGAGCGCCTGCGGCGGAGGAACTGGGCGGGGAATCGGGGGAGAAGCGCGCCGATGCGGCGGAGGACGCGGAGGAAGGACCGCCGGGACGCGATGCTTCCGCGGAGACTTCAAGCAGAGGGGGAAGCGCGAGCAGGTTGCGCGATGTAGCGAGAGCACCTGGAGTGACTGCATCGGCTGCAGCGGCCTCGGCTAGAGTAGTTTCGGGTAAAGCCCCTGCCGAAGTCGCAGACGCAGCCGCCGAGGCAGTCGCCGGAGTCGCAGCAGGATTCGCGGAAGGGGTCGCAGCGACAGTCGCAGGAGTTGCAGCGAGGGTCGCAGAAGACGTCGCAGCAGGAGTCGCACTGAGAGGCACGAGTCTGGCACTGCTTCTCCCTGGCGTATCCGCGCCAGCTGAGCGACCCCCTAACGCCCCTCGAGATCGACCCCTCTGGCTGACAGGTGTCGCCGCCTGATTGGTTGTCGCTGCAGCGGTGTCTGGAATCTCCACGTCAGCCGTAGCGTTGGACCCCCCTGTGCGTCGCCTCGTCCGTCTTGTCATGTCGCAGTCGCAGTCGCAGTTACCTTCGCGAAAGCGCCTTGCGAAAAAAGAAAAACTAAGGCGAAGGACACTGAAGGACTAGGTCAGGGAGTTTTGAGAAAGCACGAGACCTCATCCTATCATCGCGGAACGACCTGGCAGTACACTATGGACCCTCCTATCATCGGCTGTTACTGCTGCAGGAGTTTGACACAGGCTGAGTACACTGTGGACGCTTCTAACATCGCCGGAATGAGGAGAATGAGACTGGCTGATGCAAGCGTACGAGAATGAGAGGGGCCGATGCACGACACTACCAGGCGTGGATCATGCCAGAAAGGAATTGGTCGTTCACAGGCCAGTTGTGCCTAGGGATCAAAGAAGGGTATCACAACCACTCGCGTGTTTCTCCTACAAGCGTATAACAACCGTTGCTCAAGGCAAGCCGATCGCGACGCTAGTTCGTCGCTGCACGAAAGGGAACCATGTAGCAGATTGCTCCCGCACTAACTAGTAGCTACTGACAGACACAGCAGGCGGAGACGGACGACAGACAGGCATCTGGATTCTGTGTGGACCATTGGGGTGCTGGAGGTTGAAGGTGGACTCGGGGCATCCTCTTCCTGATAGCATCAATAAATCCGATACACATAGTAAGCACTGTACTTCTATCCTTATTCTCAGTCTTATACCACTCTAAACAAGAAAGTTTTAGGCGTGGCCTCAATTGTTTTTGCAAAAGCAGAAACAGGCTGTTGAAAATTCCTGCGCTTAATTAAATTGAGGAGCTTATATGACCGCACCTTGGACTTCCTCTCTAAAGATATTCCTATAGCTAAAATTTCCATGAACCTTAAAAGAAACAAATGAACAAACATGTATGGATACGCACCTGATAAAGCATTACATAATGGTGTGTCTCTTGTGAAAACTATGAAACAGAGGAAACTAATATCCAAATGCACTTGTGCAAGGCTATTTATATGAAGTTTTCTAACTTCTTATTGCGAAGTATATCCTGCATTTAATATTTATTGCGAAGTATATCGTGCGAAAGCACTTGGTAACATATCGCACATGTGGCTCGCGACAACAGTTTGTTTGTACCTTGCACATGATTCGCTCCGGTTGGCGAACAGAACCGCTTACGTGGCCTACGAGCTATCCTTATCTCTGGAACGGGAGCCCAGAATCATCCGCAGCTCGATTTCGGACGCTATTCGTCCGTTGGATGCGATCCACATGTCGAATCGAGGGGTCGCAAAATCGCTGACAATTTCGCCTCCAGAACCAAACACCCAGGTCGGGCATCAAGTGACTCTGGCAACCACATAGGGACCACTTCCCATCTTCCTCGGGAATTCAGCAGCTCTCCTCAATTCGCCGATCTCACCCATCTTAGCGCAATCTCTGGTTGTCATTCTTCACCGAAGCAATGGCCGCTGCTTCCATGGCTACCAGCGTTGCCCTGAAGAGCCTTAGCTCTTCCTTCTCCGGCGCGGCCGTCGCCGCTCCCCAGAAGGCTGTGGCTGCCAAGGCCGGTGCCTTCACCTGCCGTGCCCAGAAGTCCGAGGAGGAGGTTGTTGTCTCCCGCAGGTCCGCCGTGACCCTCCTTGCGGGTGCCGCTGCTGCCCTCACCCTCAAGGCTGCCCCCGCCCAGGCTGCCTATGGCGAGGCTGGTACGTTTCGTACTGTACTCATATCGTCCCCAATGTGCATGCTCCGTGCGAGTCTGAGTTACAGCATGCATGCGCGATGTTCATATTTTTTAGCTGTGCAATAGATCTAGAAGGGTTACTCAGCTTTCTACTGTACCTCCTCCCCTTCGCAGCCAACGTCTTCGGCAAGGGCCCCGGCAACACCGACTACATTCCGTACAAGGGTGATGGTTTCTCCATTGACCTCCCCTCCAAGTGGAACCCCAGCAAGGAGATCGGCGAGTTCCCCAACATCGTCCTGAGATACGAGGACAACTTCGATGCCCTTGCTAACGTCGTCGTCATTGCCGAGCCCACCAGCAAGTCCTCCATCACTGACTTCGGTTCCCCGGAGGAGTTCCTTGAGAAGGTAACTATCATATACTGATACACCCGAGCTTGCTTGATCCCCGACTATCAAAGATTCGAAGGGTCATTCATTACGGGCTTTCTAACGTATTCGTTTCTCGTTCTGTGCAGTACAAGTACCTCCTCGGTGTCCAGGTCTTCGCTGGTGAGACTTCCTCCGAGGGTGGCTTCGACAAGAACGCCACCGTTACCGCTTCCGTGCTGGAGTCCTCTGCCCCGAAGGTCAACGGCAAGACCTACTACAAGCTGAACGTGCTCACCCGTACCGCTGACGGTGGTGAGGGTGGCAGGCACCAGCTGGTCACTGCAGCTGTCGGTGGAGGCAAGCTGTACATCGAGAAGGCTTCCTCCGGTGACAAGAGGTGGTTCAAGGGTGCCAAGAAGTTTGTCGAGGGTACTGACAAGTCCTTCACTGTTGCTTAAATGTGATATAGTAATGCCCGCCATTTGTCAATTTTGCGTTTAAGATACAAGCTATTTGCACATACAAGTTGGCTTTCATATGTTCGTCTCAACAAATGCTGTACAGCGACAGACAGGAATACGAAACAACAGATTTTTAACTGTCAATTGTACGAAACTTTTCACACGCTGGAGGTGCTCAGATCCTGCAAATCTCAGGGACATGGCAAGCAGAAGTATCAGGGCGATGATGGACATGGAGGTACTGCAGGTTGCACTTCTGGACAAGGTGCATACGATTGGGCTGAAGCTGTTACTGAGGAAGGAGAGAGTGCTGGGCTTGGAGCAGGAGCCGGGCTTGGAGCAGATGCTGAGCTCGGAGCAGAAGCTAGGCTTGGTGCAGGAGCTGAGGCAGAAGTTGTCAATGGCCCAGTGGCGTTAACATGAAGCTGAAATTGCAAAAAAGAATTTCCCGCTAGACCTAGGAGGCCAGACCCAGCTTCAACAGCTTGAAGCACGTCCCTGCACAGCAACATTGCAGCAGTTCAAGACACAGTAGATACGGTATGTACAATCATGCATTTGAGGACACAGTATCACTCACACCTGATCCTGACAATAGGGTCTGAGTCCGCCATCAGGAGAAGAGCATTTTCCTGCACAAAGATCATGGGCAGGAGAATGAGCACATACCAGCAGGCATAGTCCGGAAAACATTGACAGTACTGAGAAGTGACTGACAAGCACGTACAGTTGCAGATATCTGACCCGCGATATGTGTGATCTGATTGCTGGGAATGTCCACGTTGACGTTCTTCAGGTCCACATTATTACCAAAATAATTCCCAGTGACTCGTCCAAACAGAATTGATGCGTTCTTGGGGGTGAAAGTGAAGTTGCCTTCGGGGCTGGTAGTGAAGTTCCCACCTGTTCAATGCATTCCGTTCGTTATTGCACATACCGCAGCTCAGGCATAGCAACGCGAAAGTCACTACTTACCAGACACCGTGAGGTTGACATCTGATGCGGTAAAATTTGCAAGAGGAACAACGACACCAGGTCCTATAAGGGCAGCCTGGAGCTGAGAGGGTATGGTTGTAAAGCTACTGCGGACCCATGTCCACTCAACCTGCGAATAGCAAGCGAGCGCATTACATATTGCACGAGCAGTCTCCCTTTGAGCAAGTTTCAAGGAACGGCACCAAAGCGAGAACACAAGCACGCCTCTACCTGCTGGGTCGATGGAGAGACGGCGAGCTTCAGCGCAACTGGTCCTTTGAGCAGAAAGGATGGTGGCCCTACAACCACTCGCAGGCCTGATGCTCCTCCAGCTTTCCATGATGAATTTGAGGCTTCAGGAACAGCCTTGAAAAACGGAAGGAAAACGAAGCAGAGGAACGGTAGGATAATGAATCGTCTAGACGCCTGGAAAACGACTAATCTGCGAAAAAGCTTCACATTTACCTGCAGAACAGAACCCTGGGTTCCTTGCCCATTCGTAGGGCCAACCAGCAGAGTGAAAACGAGAACGAAGGACAGCGAAGCAAGCAGCACTTTCAGCAGGCCACCCTTGGCGGGAGCGACATGCGAAGCACAGCAGAAACAAAAACCGAGGCAAGTCATTTTGTGATGCCTTGTTATGTAACAAAGATGATGGAGAGCGGGTGCTAAGACAGACGAGTAGACGCGCAATGCACATTAGCGGCTATATGGCTGCTCGAAATGCCGAAATCGCCCAATCGAATACACTGGTTGAAGGGAGACTTGACGGCCAGCCGTCAACAACTGGTTTTCATAGGGCGCACGGAATTTCGCATTTGCCTCGTAACCTCGCATGACTTCACGTAAAACACTGGAAGGACACGTGACACGTGAAACGGCTGGACAGAAATAGAAGCTGAAATGACAACGGAAATTTTCCAGTACGAAACAAATATAGATTTATGTTATTGCACATAAAACAAAAACAAGCTGAATGAGTACTTATATAATAAGCTACTAAATAAATTTCTACGTGAACACTATATTGCTAAGCAGCATGCTGCTGATGATCTCTTGTGCCCTGAAGCTCATGATGATGAGCTGGGATTTGACGGAATGCTTGATGCTGATCATGAAGTCCTTGGTAGTTGTGATGGGGTAGATGTTGCTGGAACTGCTGCTGTTCCCTCTGCTGCTGCTGCTGCTGCTGCTGCCTTTGCAGCAGCTGTTGCCGCTGCGCAGCAGCAAGCAGCATTGCACAAACCAACTTATGCCCAGCCTTCCAATCCAGTGCCTGACACGCCCGGCTGCAATACTTAGCCTCTCCGCATGCCGAGCAGCATCTAAACTCCTGCCGCCGGGTCTCCGACCTCCCACAACGGGTATTAGAGCAAATGCGAAGGCCTTCTGGCAGCCCGTACATGCCACGCCAGTCCACTAAGAACTTGTGAACGGCAGCGTGCCAGGAGAACGGGGGAAGGGCGACAGTGGGGAGGCAGCAGCAGCGGTAACCTACGCCATACACTGCACAAGAGGGCAGCACTGTAGCGGGATTCGGTGCAAAGGGATTTGGTGCAGTGGGATTTGGTGCAGTAACATTCTGTGCAGTGGGATTCATTGCCTCAGTTCCTGGTATCACACGAGCAGTATGTGCTGCTGGTGGAGTTCCGGCATGGGGTGCAGCTGCTGTGTCTGCATGGAGAGCATGCCCCACTGCCACTCTGCTTTGTGCCCAGTGATGGATTCGCAGTGGTATGGGCTGCTGCTGCTGCTGCTGCTGCTGATGTTGCTGCTGATACTGCTGTTGCTGATGCTGCTGCTGCTGTTGCTGTTGGTGCTGCTGCTGGTGGTGGTGGTGCTGCTGTTGCTGCAGTTGCTGGGCATGGTAATGAGCCGAAAAGTTGTGCTGAGGATAAAATAGGGTCTGGTGGTGGTCCGCCTGCTGACGTTGATATTGAAGCCCCTGCCGCGGCTGCTGATGGTGGTGATGCTCCTGCTGCTGCTGCTGCTGCTGTTGACGAGCCTCAGTTGTAGCCGATGGACGATTTTGCTGCGTCTCATAACTCTGCGGCTGTTGCTGCTGCTGCTGCTGCTGCTGCTGCTGCTGTTGACGCGTCACTTCCTGTTGGTTCTGCTGCACGTGGTGCACAGCTGGCTCTGTCGCCTGGCCATGAATGCGCCACACAGCCACGGCACGCTGCATGCCGTGCACCTGCTCAGAGCGCGCACCATCAGGTGGTGCTTCAGGCGGAGCTACAGCAGCGAAAGGACTTGCCTGCTCAGCAGGAAGAGGGGCTCTCGCTTCCACACGTGGAGCTGATCCTGTCGCTTCTGCTGCTGCTGCTGCTGCTGCTGCTGCTGCTGATCCTGGCAATGCTGCTGCTGATCCTGGCAATGCTGCTGCTGCCGGTGCTGCTTCTGCTGCTGCAACTTCTGAAGCAGCTGCCATTTCTCCTCCCGGTGCTCTCGCCAGTGCGGTGGCAATCGGCACAGCAGTGACAGCTGACGCCCGGAGCATTCGCGCAGCTTCGGCAGACGACACCAGAGCGCCGTAGGCTTGGCGAGCCCGAGCCAGGCCGTGCAAGGCTTGGAGATCCAAACGAGGGCGGGAGGTTCGGTGGGGAATCGCAGGAGCTGCGGATGCGAACACGTACTGCTGGGTGGGTTGAGTCTGGGGGGAATGAGCTTGGGAGGCTGGGGAGGGTTGGACTGGGGAGGCTGGTAAGTTCTGACGCTGGGGTTCATAGTGCTGCTGCTGATTCTGGTACTGTTCTTCCAGGGTTTGCTGCACAGAACTGTGGTCGCTTATAGCGCGGATTACATCATCACCCGCTTCCCCTCTTCCCGCAGCACCCTCTACTTGCTCTCGCCTCCTCTCATCCTGCCTCGCGTCGAGCACCTTATTGAGCTCCCTAATCTGCTCGTCGCCTATCGCCGTTCCTGTCGCATGCGCCATCGCAACAGCAGCGGGCGACGGAGAGGAGGACGAGTGTGCGGCAGGAAGCAGCGGGCCGGAAGCGCTTCTTGCTTCGGCAGCGCGTCTGGCGCTGCTGGCACCGCCGCCTGGGCTGCTACTGCCACCGTCTAGGCTTTCCTGACCTCGCGGCGCCACGTGTGCAGCTTCGGAACGAACCTGCCTGTCGAGCTGGCTCGGTGGGGCTGTTGCTACAGCTGCTTCGGTTTCCTCGGCTCCCCATGCGACTGCTGTAGTTTCGGACGCCCCCGTCCCACTTGTCACTCCTCCCCCCCCCCCGTTCCCCCTACGCCCAACCCCCCTGCGCCTGCCCCCCCAGCGCCTGCTCCCCCTCCGGCTGCTCCCGCCGTGCCACCTTCTATTACCCGTGTCCAAACTGGCGCGGCGGGCGCAGTAGGCGGAGAAAACACACCACCAGTCGAAGCGACTGTAGCAGTTGTTGCGGCAGCAGTTGTAGCGGCGGCGGCAGCTGTAGCGGCGGCTGTGGCAGCTGTAGCCGCCTCCCTCGTGTTCGCTTCCAGCAGGAGTCTTCTTCCCTCCGCTACGTTCCGCGGGACCCCATACCCGTCCTGCAGGCAGTGCCCCAGCTCTCTTAAAGCCTCCACGTGGCCGAGCGTCGCGGCCTTGGCGCACAGCAGCACGCCCGCCAGCAGGTCGCGGTCGAGGCGCGAGCCGCCGCTGCCGTTGAAGTGGATCACGGCGAGCGAGTGCAGCGAGTGCGCGTGGCCGGCGAGCGCGGCGCGCGCGAGGAGCGTCGCGCCTGCGCGGCGGTCTTCGAGGCAATAGAACTTAATCTGCGCGTGTCGAAAGGGGAAGGATGGGGGTGGGGATGTGGGGCGTCGGTGAGGAACGGGGAGTCAGGCAACCTCGGCGGTTGAGCTCACTCCCGGTTCGAAGTTGTTAATCGTTAAAAAGTTACTGCGGGTCTGAAGTCGTAAATTCTTTTAGCGCCCCCACGGAGGTTCTTTCGCGGCGCCGAGGAGAGGCACACTGACGCTAACAGAGAGAGGTATACACTGGCGGCGGCGAACTTTGTGCCGACCCAGGAGAGAGGTACACCAAGAGGTATAGTGAAGGAATACTGACCATGCCGAGCGTGTAGCACGCGTCGAGGTTGCCCGCCGAGGCGCACTCTTTAAGGAACCGATGCGCGCTGTCCGACCAGGACGGCGCCGGCACCGTCATTGCCGCGGACGACGCGCGTCGCAGCACGTGCGACTCCGTGCCGAGCGCGCACATGCGGCGACACGTCAGCCACGCGTTGATCAGGTCGGCCGGGGAGCGCGCTCGATGCGCCACGTGCTGCAGAATGCAGGAGACGAGCTCGTCCTGGGGGGAAGGGGGTAGCGCGCGGCGGGGCGGGAGCAGGCGGGGGGGGAAGGGGAAGCAGACGAGCGGGAATCAGCTGAGCGGACGCGCACATGCGGCGACACGTCAGCCACGCGTTGATCAGATCGGCAGGGGAGCGGGCTCGAACCGCGAGACGCTGGAGATGCTGGAGAAAGCAGGAGACGCGCTCGTCCTGGAGGGATGGGGCATGCGAGGAGCGCAGGGGGGAGCAAACGAGCGAGAAAACGAGCTCGCGTTCATCACGTCGGCAGGGGAGCGGGCTCGAACCGGGAGATGCTAGAGAATGCAGGAGACGCGCTCGTCCTGAGGCGGTTGGGGGGAGAGGGAGGGGGGGAGGGGGAGAGTATCGAGAAGAAGGTCGAGAATGGGTTGGGTTCAACCCGAGATGAAGATCCGCCGGCGAGGTGACGCCATCACTCGCGGTCCCGGTGAAGCGAGGTGAGCCGCACGAGGCGAGGCGAAATGGGGCCGACGCAAGGGGGGGTGGGGGGGGCGGGAAGGGCTCGCGAGCAATTGGCGGTATTCCTAGCAAAAAGAGAAGCTTTAGTTTTAACGAAGTGCTATCAATACGCAGGTAAGAGGAGGCATGCAATGAGCTAACGTCGGCTCATCATCGCGTTTCGTGAGCTTCAGCTTACGGGTAATTCGTCGAAACCCGACGCGTCAGAGCACGTGATTCGCCGTCGCTTGGCCGCGTTACTACTAGCGCAGACAGGCGCCTCGTGGTGTGATGGAGCCATGGCCTTCGCAGCGTGACATGCGGGAGCCATGGCCGCCTTCCGAGCGGAGCACGGGCGAATGTGGAACGTTATGCCGTCTGACGCGCTGTAATACCCTCCTGTGCGAGTCCTCATGCTACTAACGAGGATACTTTGGCGACGCGATGACGTTGAAGAAGTCTCGACGGGAGCAACGAAATCGATAGCAGCGACTTCGAAGAAGTCTCGGCGCTATGACTAAACGCGGCTGTTATGGCGTCACTGGTCCTTTTCTTCCGATACAGAATTATGCCGTAAGTGCGGAATGGAGGAGCAGCAGGGAGAGCCAACTAAAGAGATTCTGAACGCTTTGGATGGAGCGACGGTGGTGATAACTACCATGACATACGACAAAGCTCACAATATGAACTTCCTTTGAAACGCAGAAACGAACGAACTTGAGATGGCAGACGAACTCTCGATTCTTGTTCAAGGAGCGTGCAGGCTCTGACTGATTTGGAGCGTTCAGGTGCAGTCCGCGGAGCTCGGCTCTGGCTTGTTCTGATGTGACAAGGCTTGGGGAAGGCAAGAGAAGGGCGTGTCCCGCGCGTAAAGTTCATCTACGGTTGGGTGCGATTCTCTGCGCTTATGATTGTACATAAAAGGATGTAAAACGGTTGGGTGAGGTTTTGAGCAAGAAACTTGCACCATGAGGTCAGCTTTGGCAGAATGCCAGCATGAATCTGCAAGTTGTAAGGCGAAGGGAGTTGGTGCGAGCACGACACATGCGAAAGCAGAAGAGCATCATCGAGCACCATGGCAAGCGGCGGTGGAGGCGGGGAGGAGAGGAGAGGGGAGGAGACCGGTGGGGCGGCTAGAGCTCCCTTCCAGGCTCCTTTAACCTTTATGGCTGGGTACATGACCCCAAAGGTCGGGCTAGGGTGAGGATTGCCTGCTTCTGGTACATGAGGTTTGCGGGAAACCGCCAAGCCTCCAAATCAGGCCGGACCTGGCTGCCCGAGCGTGAGGTCCGGCCTTTTGGCCGCAAACCGCAAAAACGGGGTCGTGTATCGTGCCCTTCCTGTACTACTGTAGCATGGGGAAGGGGTTGCTTTGGCTGATGAATTCTTGAGAGCTCACAAACCTCACCGGGAAAAAACTAAGCGACGGAAAGGAAAGGGCACACAAAAATGGGTGTCTAGGGTGACAGAGAGGGGGTACAGAGGACAAGCAATCTGGTCCGACAAAGTAATGCGAGGCTTGGGTGCGGAGTCAAGCTGGACACACAGAGACGAGGTTTGGATAACGATTAGGAATTGTTCTGGCAGGGGCGGGAAACATTTCTGCCCATTTCGGACACTGTACCGTACTTTGAACCCCCTCCAGGAAACCTGAAAATGTAGATTTGTGTTGGGGTTCACTGCAACGACCCATGAATTCCAAGATTCTCATCAACAGAACTTGAGGAAACATATTTCCTGCATAAACGAAACTTCAGTGAAAGAGCGAATGTTTTTCTGCAAAAACAGCCCAAACCAGGGAGGTGGTGGACAGGACAGCATGCAGCGGCAGGCCAGGAGAATCACACATCCACAGCATGAGCAAGAGCAGTAGTGGTGGCGGTGGGACTCTCCAAAAACAATGAAAACAAGCTGGCGATGGCGAACCGCATGGACGGTAACACGATGGCGTGTACGATGTAGACACGATGCCAAAAGAGGCTGGAATAACAGAAAGTGAAAGCAGACAGAAAGCCCACTGCTAGCCCTTGGCTCAAACTGTACAAGGGGTTTTGTTAAGGCCTCTTGCTAACAGAGCAATTACCCTTAATGTCGAGAGATTAAGAATAACTTTTCAAGTGATTCCGTTTTTTACAGTACGATTTTTTTCCCGAATCCGTCCAACTTACGGAAACAATTTTGCACGATTCCTTAGCCTAACGCGTAACTTTTCTTCGAATCCGTCCGAGCTATACTTGTGGCAGGAAAATCTGTAGGGGATAGCGACCGTTCACACACCCCCACACAACGCTCCCCCGCCCAACCCCGCCTTTGATCACTTGCTAGCCGAATTTGTAGCGACCGATTCCTTTCGGTAACGGGTTTTTTTTTTGGAGAATTCCGTCTGTTAACGGGTGATCCTGAGGCAATTCCGTCCCCTTCCGGAATACCCTGGGGCTTAGCGAGAAGCCTGGTTTCGTTGATGCCTAGGGTATTTCCGCTAGATAATGGCATGCCTCCAAAATTATCCATGACGGACAGAATCGCCGGAAAACGCCCTGTTAGCGTGTGATTCGTCTAAGAGCTTCTCTTTGTGGACAAGTACTGATTGTACTCCCAGACAAGTAGCCTTCGCCACGGCAAAGGGAGAGCCTCGGAACTCCCAGAACAGAGGGATATCTCTAAGTCTCCAGCGGTGGGGAGGTAGAAAAACCACCTCAACCTTCCTAAGAAATAAATGTCAGGGAGGATCTGTTTACTTCATGAAGAAACAAATTAAAGTTACCTGTAAGGTCAAGGAATCACACAAAAGGTAGACCGCTACGGGGCCGGAATCAGGAAATGCTTCCTCCGCACAAAGAGGAGTTAAGCCGTCAACTAACCCATATATATCGACATTACGGGTAATTTTCCTCTGATACCGACAGAACAATTGCTTTAATACAGCTCAGTCGTACCCTGGGTAAATTCTGGATGAATGAGCGAGTCTACACCAGAAATGACACGATGAATGTTTCTGAGTTCCAAGCTGCTTGGAAGCAGTATTACCAATGAAATGTTTCTGATTTCTACACTCCCAAGCTCCTCATCAGACAAATCCCACCTTTAGTAAAGCTATTGCGGGGTCTAGTGTAGGCTGCTGAACTACACACCTGCACTTTGCCTCGTATGGAAACTCCAGTCTCCCTCTGACATTTGGACGCACTTCTGTACAGCAATTCTATGACCAACGGCAAACAAGGATGCCTAGGTGCTGACCTGTCGTGGAAGGTGTGGGTAAACAGACTCTTGTCGGGACACGATCCAGCACTGAAGGAGGACTTGCATCCCCATCATTTCAAAGCGGTTACATTTGCCGTCGACCAAAAGTGACGAAAGCGTCGCATAATGAACGATCACGGTAAATTCTGAATATGTGAACGAGCATTTAATGCGTTGGTCGTGTGGCGTCCTCGATACAGTAGACGCACTTTAGAATGAGGACATTGCCTTCCAACAGTGCACTCTGAATCAGATTCTCCAGCTGGATTTTCCACATCCCATCATATATGTTCTCTTTTTCAAATTGGGAGGCAATATACTAAGCACTTCAACATCGTATTCAATAATTTCATAATAATGTTACACGGAAATCATGGATGGAACATATGGTAGGATTCACTGACAAGCGCAACATATCTGTAGATCGTGTGCCCAACTCGCAACAGTAATAGTCGCCCAGAGCAACCCCCTACTGAGTGGACTATTTACCCACGGGTATTCAACCGACCCCTTCTTCGTAAATGATGGCCATCTCCAAGTCACTAAACCGAAAGGCGTCTATTACTTACGAAGCGGTACATATCGAATTTGGGTCCCAAGTTATCGTCTACTTCGCGAATTACTGATTCAAGAAGTCCACGAGTCAAATTTATCGGGACATTTCGGGGTTAAAAAACTCCGTAGGCGTTGCAGCGATTTTATTACTGGCCAGATATGGTAACGGATGTGCAGCGTTACATGGCCACGTGTCTGATCTGCCAAGGATTAAAATCATTACACCAGCGACCGACAGGACTGTTGCAACCCCTCGAGCCACTCAACGCCCATGGCAACACGTGACGATGGATTTCATCACAAGTCTGTGGGTAGGATCCAGCGGAAACGATGCAGTGCTTGTTGTTGTCGACCGATAGACGAAAATGGCGCATTTCGCACAATGTCGCACGACAATCACAGCCGAAGAAACGCGCTGCCCTTCTTGGAATTTTCCTACAACAGCGCGCCCTCACCTACGACTTATCACTCCCCGTTTTACCTCAATTACGGAATGGACCCGACAGTGCCTATCTCCACCAACGTCGAGAGTCAAGTACCATGATCGTATGCGGATCTTCATCGACGGGATATAACCATGGCAGCAGGGCAACTAGTCATTCCGGACACCAAGAATTTACGACTGCTACTACCGATAAAATCACGACCACGTTTTTTCGGCCCGTTCAAGATTATGAAGATGGTGACTCAGTTGACCACTCAAGATTATTCCTAACCAAACTCTGATTTTCATAGTGCCCTGGAGCTCAAACTCTAATTTATTTGGGTTTTTTTCACACTTTCCAAACAAAAACTCATACAATCAGGATTTTTGCCCCTCGGCTATTTGGCACCATGCTGCATTATCCAGGAAGGGTGACAGATCGCACCGCATTTTTTTTTTATTTTTTTTTGAAGGTGCATTCCATATACCTCCCCAATTCATTTTCGTACGCAAAATATGTGTTGAATTAACGTTGAAATGCACGATTTTATAGAGAATGTTCGAAATCTGCCCAGTACAATTGGCCAGAACTGGGATCTGTTGGTTGGTTCTCCCCAAAAAAATCATTGCGGGCTCTGCTATAAAATGCTTCGTTCGGGCACGTTCCGTGCTTGAGGAAAGCCCTGAGGCAGGACTTTGGGGCATCAGTTTAGACAGACCAGATGACCCAAAGTGTTGGCTTGGGGGATCTCGCCCGTATAACTGATGCCCTGACTTCACTCCTCGGGGATTGCCTCGGGTGCGAAACGCATCCTCAGTCAGCACCGCAACTCGCGCTGGCTGGCAGGCATTTCGCGTGAGGAAACAGCAACAACCAATCCTGGCTGACTTGGGATTTTTCTGGGGGCAAAGTGTGCAGAAATAACACGCGAGTAATTGGCTGGCGCATGTGCTGTACCAATTGTCGTAGCCGTGTTGCGACAGCTGGGTTGGGTGTGGGAGGGAGGTTTGTGCCTGGGTTGCGTGGGGTATAAGAGGGTTGTCACTGGTTACAAAGGACTTCGCCAAAATTTTCGAGATTGGTTGAGGGGTATGAGGGGGTGCGTGTCTGGTTGGGAGGTAGCCAAAATCATCTAGCTTATGGGAATATGAGAGGGGTGTGACCAGGGCATATGTTAACAGGGTAATTACCTTGACTTGACTGAAAGTTGAAGGTTTTCTTGAGACCAACCCTTCGTTTTCTAAGGCCTTTCTTAAGCCAACCTTGAGAGAATCAGGGGGATTTATATACTGACCTATAGGAGCCCGAGGGGGTTTTGAGGGGGCACAAACATCTAGTTAGCCTCGAAGAGATGTAGGAATATGTCAAACTTCATGTTCTTCCCTTTCACCCTCAGCCCCACTTTGCTCTTCGGACACGTTCTTGTGTCGTGCCATCCGCCAGTGTCGTCCAAAATTTGCCTGTAAGCTTGGTTCGACCAAGCCTTAGTTTAGTGTGGGATTTTAAAATGAGCTGATA